TACAGACTGCTCACTTTGTCACATATGTTGCTGAATCTTGTTAGTTTACCCTGTAACATCACAAAGAACAATTCTGTCTAGTCTTTCTTTGTTTGATTCTTGCCTTGTTTAATCTGCATTGATTATGCAGATTACATTACATTACATCAGTACATTTTCCGCCTGTACTGACCATTTGTCTGTTATCCGCCTTCGCCTTTTGGATTACCTGTTTGCTCCTGTGTTTAACCATTGCCAGCCTGAAGAATCTAATAATAAACTGCATGTGGATCCTCAAATTTGTTGTCCACTGTCCTACAGTTACAACAACATTTACTAACGTATACTAAAATAAATCTACTCCATCATGTGCTCCACTTTACGCAGCTAGCATAATCCTATGTCTAGGTTTATTTTTTTTCTAACAATATTAATTAGCCTAATTATAACTTAATTGCAGTGACACAGTGGCGCAGTAGATAGTGCTGTCTCCTCACAGCAAGAAGGTCACTGGGTCGCTGGTTCGAACCTCAGCTCGGCTTAGTTGGCGTTTCTGTGTAGAGTTTGCATGTTCTCCCTGCGTTTGCGTGGGTTTCCTCCGGGTGCTCTGGTTTCCCCCACAGTCCAAAAACATGTGGTACAGGTGAATGGGCTAGGCTAAATTGTTCGTAGTGTATGAGTGTGTGTATAAATGAGTGTGTGGATGTTTCCCAGAGATGGGTTGCAGCTGAAAGGGCATCCGCTGCATAAAAACATGGATAAGTTGGCGGTTCATTCTGCTGTGGCGACCCCAGATTAATAAAGGGACTAAGCTGACATGAAAACGAATGAATGAATTGCACACATGTAGACAATCTATCCCTTTGAGTTATATTAACATCAATCTGTTTATCAATTTTTATTAATCTAATTTAAATTGTAATAATTTACTTTTACTGTAACTTAAATAACTTAACTTAAATAAAGTCTTAAAACACAAATCATTTGTGTTATTTTATTTAAAATAAATGTTAGCTTAAATTTTTTTGTGTAATTGTGAAAGTGTAAAGGTTTTTCCTAGTGTTGGGTTGCAGCTGGAAGGGCATCCGCTGTGCAAAACATATGCTGGATAAGTTGGCGGTTCATTCCGCTGTGGTGACCCTTGATGAATAAAGGGACTTAGCTGAACGAAAATGAAGTTTATTTTAGTTATGTTTAGTTTAACTTAAAGAAACATTCCACTTTTTTTTGGAAATAGACTCATTTTACAAATTGCCTAGAGTTGAGCAGTTGAGTTTTACCATTGTTGAATCTAAAAAGGCTGATGTCCAGGTTTGGCAGGAGCACTTTTAGCTTAGCTTAGCATAAATCATTGAATCAGATTAGACCATTAGCATTTCACTATAAAATGACAAAAATGTTTTAAAAATTTTCCTATTCAAAGCATGAAACTTCTGTAGTAACAGAGAGATGGAAAGTTAGTTATTTTATAGGCCAATATGGCTAAGAACTATCCTCTTATTCCAACGTAATTAACTTTACAACTGTACTCTGGATGCAGAAAGCATAATAATATTATGCAATGCCAGAAAATTGGCTAGCCTCTGTCAGTATAACCAGTGTGACCACTTGCGTGCATAGGGAGAATGCCAACATGGAAACATGCGAGACATTCTTCACCACCATTGGAGCAGTGTTGGAGCTCTTCTTCAAGAAAATGAATCTATTTCCAAAAAAAGTGTAGTGTGCCTTTAAAGCTAAAACTAAAGTAAACCTATATTTAAAAAATAACCCAATCATGTGCTCTACTTTTACGCAGCGATCCTGATCTTGTGTCTAGGTTTATTCTGTGATTACAATCTTAATTAGCCTAACCTTGTTCTAAACTCATCCAATTGTTCAGTTTCAATGTGCTTTCCTTCATAATGACCCTACTCTGAATCCCATGACCACAAACAAGGAGCACTGACAGGTCATCGCTGTCTCCATCTCCACTTATTTGATTTACGATCAATTCCTCCTCTCCAACAAACCAAACCTATAAGCACATCTAGGCACAGCAACACCACAGTAAGAAACGGTCGAGCTAACAATGCAAATCCTGATAAAGAGATAGCTCAACTGTATGCTCTCAGGAAAAGCCAGAAACCACAAGACGCCAAACGGAAATAACACAGAGCACACTGGATTCAATTAATTTTAAGAAAAGTGGTCTGAATCAAAGGACGCAAGAATGCCTTTTATTTACAGTGCCTTCCTGTTACTCAGAAAAAACCTCAGGGCTCCGTTTACTGTAGAAACAGGCTGACTGAAGCGCCGTGCTTAATGTGTGGCAGCGACTGACCAAGGAGAGTGAATAATTGACTGATTACAAGATAAGAATGAATAGACGCTGTTGAACGGAGAACAGAAAGTGTTCTTTTCATAGCCGCTGCGCTTCTGTTGCCTTAAAGTGCTGCGCTCTTGTTTCAGATCGGGATGAGTCATTTCAGTAATGCGAGGGACCACAAAACTCCTTACCAAGACGTAGAGAGGGGTTTTTTTGGAGGGGGGAGAGCAGAGAATGTAAAAGGAAGACAGAGGAAAGAATGAAGAGAGGAGAGACTGAAAAAAACACCACAAGAATGATACGCAGAAATCCCCTGCAAGTGTTGCAAAACATTACCACGAAAATGGCACCATGAGTCTTTTTACACTCTCATGATGGTATTATATGTGTGCTTGCTACGTAAAGTACCTTGCGGTGACAGTATTGTGCTTGCGAACATTTTGAAGATATTAATATAACAGGCTACTTAAAATTCATAATTTATTATATTTAGGGCTGTCAAATGATTAAAAAAAATTATGTAATTAATCACACTTTTTTTTGTAATTAATCATGATTAATCACAAAACGCTGTATTTATTACAGAAAGAAAAACACAGGCATTTAGGTGCCATCTGAATTTCAAAACAATCAATGCCAATAACAAACAAAAATGATTTCCATGTTGGATTCTAGGTGGACTACAAACACACACACATACACACACAGAAAATGCGTGCAGTACAGCGGACGCGGTGAGCGAGGGATCCCTTCAGATTCATCAACACATGATTAGTTCGTCAAATTTGCTGAATATAAGCGTTCTAAAGTATGGCTGTATTTTACAAGCAAGGATTTTGACACAGCAATGTGAAGCAGACGCTTTACAATAGTTGCATGTTGGGGTATGATTAAGATAATTCTGATTAAGTGTCATCATGTAAGCAGGGATTTTTAATTACATTAAAGGATTAAGTGAGTCCCGAAATGAGGAGGTTTTTCTTTTCGTTCACCATGAGGTAACAAATCCCATTAAAACATCCTGAATAAAAATATGCTAAATGAGAGTGAACTGCTGAACTGCAGTCTAAAGATTAAAAACGAAACACCCGAAATTAGAGGAAACTCTGGAGGAAACGCAGGATAGCCAGAAGATGCAACATTAATTGTTTTATACTGAAACTTTATTTCTTAAAGCGCGTCCTTGGTCTTATCCAAATTTCTTTGCATGTAAAACACATGCAGAGCCAGAGCAAGCTGAACTGGCGCTCTAGGCAAATGCCAATCTTGCCGCCCTCAATCCGAAAGTGACCGGTTCGCGGATGAAGGTTAGGACCGGGAGGTTCGCTTTCTATTCTGCTGCCCAAGGCGGCAACCTAGGTCGCCTTTATGCATGTGCTGTCCCTGAACACAAGTCGGCCACAACAGGAAATAAAAAAAAAACTGCAACTGCGTTATTTTTTTTTTCCACGCGTTAAATATTTTTAATTAATCACGTGCATTAACGTGCAAATTTTGACAGCCCTAGTTATATTATATAATTAAATGTTTGAATAAAACATATTTTTTGGTTTTGTTCTTTAAACTACTGATGTTTCTTCCCAATATAAAATCAAAAATAGAACTTTTGCAGAAAATAACAAAAAAGGTGTCCTACATGACCAACATGAATGGAATTCCAGACTTGTACAGGGCTAATCCAAAAAGACTTTTACTTGCCCCAGTAAAAACAATTCTAATTGCTTGAATAAATATTTGATCCTCAAATAATGTCAAAACAAGCAAACCATCCTTTTTTCAATGTACATTTTCTTTGAGAACTTTAAAAAAGTATAATAAATTAAATATACAACTTTGTTTCCAGGTCAGTATCCTTGCCACAGTCTATAAATACACGAAGAGCGGACAAATGTTATTGTGAGAAAACATATTGTTAGTTTTCCTTAGTGGCTTTGGTGCATATCTCATATTTGAGAAATGCATTAACTGTTGTGCAAATGTAAATTGTGTAGTGAGAAATGCACCAAAGCCACAGAGAAAAACTGTAAAACGTACAAGTCGATATTTCAGTGAATTTGAGACTTTTTATGACTTCCTAAAGTTTTGTTTTTGAAATTTAAGATATTTTAAGACTTTTTAATAGTCGCAGATATCATATGGATGGATGGAATGTACTTGGATGGACAACTTGTTCTTGTACCTGTAAATGTCATGATAAATGCCAAACAGCTACAAAAAATGATAACACTTGATGGTCTGCTTAATATCTGTTGATATGCTCCTTCATCTGACATTTTACTGACTATAAGAAACTTTAGTAGTACATGTCAACTTATACTAACCCTAACCCTAAACCCAACACTAACCCCAACCTAACAGTCTACTTATAATCTAATAAGTATTAGTTGGCATGTAGATGCAATGTAACTTAAATTCAACAAATGGACCATCAAAATAAAGTGAAAAAAATAAAATAAGAAGTATTTAAAAGTGTTAAAAACCCTAAGAATGTGCATCTCCGTGAATTCTCCATTTCAGATTGTTTTAATCAAACATGGCCCTCTCAGCACTGTAAAGCATAAATGTCAGGGATCAACCCACACACCACATAAAGTTTAAACAGTTCAGTCTGAGAGAGAAAGAGCTTTCATGTCAAGTCTTTCATTCCTGCAGCACAGACTATTTGTTTCTACTTAAAACAGTGTGTGAACATGTGCTGGTCATGCAACCACACCTTAGTCTTCCCCAGCTGCCACTCTTTCTTCGTGACGTCGTACTTCGTCAGCAGATCCGCACATTTCTTCCTCTCGTCCGCCGTGTGGTTTCTGTCCCTCAGGATCATAGTGTATCTGCACAGGAAGTGGGTACAGCTTGAAAACACTCACATACACTCTCCACCTCACATATTTTACTGTAAGAGAACAATGTAATGATTAAGTGTTCGCTGATTCAGAGTAGAAGTAAAAACCCCTGGTATTGTTCATTAAGAGTTCAGGGGCATTTACGGGACAAACTTTTTAAAAATAGAAGAGATATGGGCATCTGGAAATGATTGTGTGTGTCAAACTGTATTTTGATAGACTGTCTGGTTTTTTTAATGGTTTTTTGGACACATGTCTCACCTGCTGAGGAAATCTTGGAAGGTTCTGCGTACTGGAAAGCCAGCTCTTCGGATCTTCACTGTTTCCAGCATTCCAGAGTAGCGGAGCTGGTTCAGAACCACATCTGAGTCAAATTTATTCGCATTCTGGAAGATGATAGAAAAGATGTCCATCAGAGTAGATATCAACTGGCTATGTCCAGTTTTTTTTTAAGCAAAGTCTTCAACAGAAGTATAATAGTGCTCAAGCACAAAAGTGAAACAGAGTTCAGAACTCTCTTGCTCTTAAAAAAAAGGTTCCAAGATTTCAGAGTGATTTCTGGTTCCCAAACCAAACAGTTTTCTTTTTTATGTGAAAAACATCTAAAATAAATGGAATGGAATTTATTATTGAACGTGCTTTTGTAAGAAAAACATCACAATCAGCAAACAAGAACATAATTATTTACCTTTCATTTGCATTAAAACTGCAACATAATACATTTATGAATTGACTGTATCTTTGTAACTTTTATCTTTAACTTAGCTCTTTACTTGGTTATATGTTTTTTTTTTTAGATAATTGTAATATTTGTGCTTAATAAATATTCCTCAGTACACTGTTATTGCCATTTAGTTTAGTTAAATTAATTCTGCTATTATACATGATTTACAAATGAGTGGAATGAATACAAACTGATGGGGTCAACAAAAGCTTAAACAAAACATTATCAACACCAAACTGCTCTGTCTGTCTAAAGGATTATTAGTTATTGTTAGATATAACTTTATTGTGCAAATAAAGTAAAATAACTGATCTTTCCAGAACTCAACTGATTTTCCAAGAAACACAACACTATAATAATAAAAAAAAAGTATATATAATAATCTGTAAAAACAAAGTATAATGTACTGGCAGACAACTTTTTCTGAACATGAACATTGCTGTTAAAATTGCAGACATTTCTTTCCAATTAAAAAAACAGAAAATGATATCCTCAATACCATATATAGAAGGCAAAATTATTCACCCAGCAGTGAAATTGTAAATATTCTTCAAATATTTTCTGTGTTATGATTATCAACAATCAAGTCATTGTAGATCGCTAACGGACTACAAGTCCACCGTTATGGACCACAAGTTCCAATCATGCACCTCACACACTCACACCTGTTCCTGATCCTGACTGATTGCTTACACACAGCCGGAGGATTGTCAAAGAGCGATGACATGGACTTTTTTTTACAGCGCGCACACACACACACACACGTCATTGCTGAATCTTGTTAACATTAGGATGCGTTTTATTTGCCTTCAACATTCACAAAAGGGCTAATAATATTGCCTTTGTATGTATTGTAGCGAGCACACGCATGCCACAAATTTTACAATTATTTAGTAGTTAACTTCTAGAATGACCTTTTTATGTTGACTTAAATTATAAATTTTAGGTGAATCTTAGGAGCTTTTCTTAATTTTAGTAATTTAAATTTATTTTTGAAAGGAACATTGAATGTTTGAGGCTAAAATGCTGAATAAAAAAATTTGCTGTGCAAAACAGAGGGAAGAAGAGGTACAAAAGAGGAAGACTTGGCAATGTCAGCAATAAAAACAGATATTTTGCATTTATTGATCCAATGAGACCACCTAGGGACAAATAAAAAGCCTAATTTAATTTCAAACCAACCAGCCTAAAATAATTCTTGCTTTTATCCATGCCATAAAGAACAAAATATATCTGTGGTCAGAAAAAGGGGTCATGGGATGTTTCCACTGGGATTGATTATGTCTATTGTGTGAGGCGTTGCGTCAGTGCCTGGTGTTCAGCTGCTCTCACACACTCCTGTCCCATCAGGCCGTTTGATCACTGTGTTAAAAAGCAGGACTCATTGTTGGTGGACATCTGGTGCGGCTTGTTCCACTATTGTCTTTTGCCATGTCCTTCACTTCACTCAGCAGAATCTGAGCTGAAATCATCCAATCATGCCAATGTAATGAGAGACTGAGGTGTATTTCTGTTTTCTTCGAGTATTAGGTGAGACATTACAGAACGAATTGGGTAAAAACAAAAACGCTAGTTACTTCAATCACTATTGATTACATTAAACTGTAAAACCCAACAGTCAACTTAATCAAATGAAATGAGTGTAGTCAACTCAAAATTGACTGAAAGTTAATTCTACTCATTTGAAGAGTTTTGAACTCAGTGTTGAAGGTAATGAGTTAATTAAATTCCTCATTACTTCAACGTAAATGGAGTAAGTTCACAGTACTCAAATAGATTAGTTTTTTAAACTCAAATGGCTTGTTGCAATCGGTTTCCTCAAACGTTTTGAGTTCTCTTCATTTATTGGGTTTTACAGTGCTCAAATGGCTTCGTTTAGTCAAATGGATTAAGTTCACAGTACTTATTAGGATCAGGTTTTGAACTTAAATTGTTGCAATCGATTTCCTCAAGGTTAGAGTTACATAAACTTTTTGGATTTTACAGTGTAGGAATTGCTAATAATTTTTATATTGCTCCTTTAAAAAATTGTTATCTAAATCTGCAAGGTATGATCATAATAAATATGCACTAATTTGCATACATTTCTAGCTAAAAAAAAAAACTGACAAAAAAATAAAAAAAACATTTTAGAGTCAAAGGTTTTTACTGGGGGATTTTAGGAATCTTTATTATCATCATAATTCTGAAATGATTGCCCAGAAAGAAAAAAAAATAGAATTAAGTTATTTATGATTATTATTTTTATTTATTATTTATTCATTTTCTTTTCGGCTTAGTCCCTTTGTTAATCTGGGGTCGCCACAGCTGAATGAACTACCAACTAATCCAGCACATGTTTTACACAGCGGATGCCCTTAAAGCTCCAACCGATCACTGGGAAACACTTGTACACCCTCATTTACACACTATGGACAATTTAGCTTACCCAATTCACCTATAGCGCATGTCTTTGGACTTGTGGGGGAAACCGGAGCACACGGAGAAAACCAACACGAACACGGGGAGAACATGCCAACTCCACACAGAAACACCAACTGACCTAGCTGGGGTTTGAACCAGCGACCTTCTTGCTGTGAGGCAATTTTATTTATAATTATGTTTATTACTATGTATTATCTTCATCCTCAGTAAATTCCTCAGAATATTGCTATGAATAAAACTGCCAAGTGTGGTGTGCTTAAGTTCAGCTGAAGAGCAAATAATCGTGCAGGAAACAAAATTCAACAGGTGCACAAATTATAATTGGGATTTTAAAAATGTATATTTGTAATGGTAAATGTTATGAGGGATTAATAATAGAATAATAGAGTGTATTTAAAACAACCACCACCTTCAATTAAATGGTAACACTTTACAATAAGGGTGTAATGGATTAACATTAGCTAATTTATTAGTTAACATGAATTAACAGTGAACAACACATTTGTTAATGTTAAGTAAACATATATCAATGTTCTATTAATTACATTAGTTAACATGACGTAATAGTGAACAATGTATGGATTACATAATGGACTACATAATATGACCTAACAATGACCGAAACATTTATTAAGCAATACTACATTTGTTATATAAACTAAATGTATAGCAATGTGTTATTCAATGCATTAGTTAGGTAATGCATTGGTTAACATGAACAAATAATGAACGAATGTTAGCAACACATTATATATAATGTCTGAATAGTTAACTTTACAATAAGGTTTCTAATTGCTTTAACTAATGCTTTGTTATTAATACATCATGTTAGTAAAGAGTTAACAAACATGAATAACATTATAGTTGAAGCTGAGGTTTACACTGTAACACACCAAAACTGGCATGTTATTTATGTTTGTCAACTCTTAACTTTATATTGATATTATTATAATATTCTATGTTAAAACTGTGATATATCAACACCTACATTCGATTTCTGAGGAAATTATTTGAAATTTTGGTAGATTATGATTATTTTTCTACTGTGGAAATGGAAGCTGTATCAAAGCATAGCCCAGTAGCTTAGTACACTCAAGGTACAAAAACGTAGTTTCCTTTATTTTAGTTTTTTCTCTCTTGGTTTAGCACCCTATTTTATCCGACCTCTCGAGAGTCAGTGTTCAAAATGAAATCTACTGACAGAAATGTATATTTCTATGAATTACTATTACTACAGTACTATTTACTTTTCCTCAAGCGGTTCCAAACTTTTGGGAGTTTTTTTTTTTTTAACACAAAATAAGATATTTTGAAGAATGTTGGAAACCTGTAACCATTGACTTCCGTAGTAGGAAAAACAAAATACTATGGAAGTCAATGTTTATAGATTTCCAACGTTTTTCATATAATCTTCTTTTGTGTTCAACAGAACAAACTTAAACAGATTTTGGTCAGGGAAGGGTGAGTAAATGACAACAACCTTTTATTTTTGTGTTAACTACCATTTTAAGTGTATTTTGGATGTTTTCTTTATATAGGACTGACAATAAAACACACCAAAAGGCCCAAAATCTCAAAACTTACTGACAGTGTCTCGCCTTAAAGAAGGCTGACATGAGTAAGAGACAGTGGTGAAAAGTAACAAATTACATCTACTCAAATTACTGTAATTGAGTATTTTTTTTCTCAGGAATTGTAATTTACTAAGTAGTTTTATAAATGTGTACTTTTACTTATCCTTGAATACATTTTCAGTTCAGTATCTGTACTTTTACGACTTTCCTTCAACCTGCAGTCATTACTTTTTTTCTTTTCGCTCTATGTAGATTTTAAAAATCTGTCATGTGAGACATATCACACCTAAAAGGTATTTCACATCATTATAAACTACCTCAAGACATGGGCGCTTTATAAATGCAGCAAACTGTTTGGAAGCATTACAAGTGTCCAAGAAGATGTCCAAAATCTTTACACGTATTGACCCAGAGACTGTTTAGAAGAATGTCACTGATGAGACGATGATGGATGTTTACTGTATGATGACCGAAATGGCTTAAACACCCAGCAGGCACAAGACATCAACATGAAGCCAGATTGACATTGTGCCCCAACGTCATGGAGAAGTTGCATTTTGTTTGGAAATGAAAATTGTATTACCTAAAACCAACCAAATATCAACATCTAATGATGTAACAGCTTGACGTTGTGTGGACGTTACCACTTTTGACATTTATCAAATGTTGGATTTTGGTTGCCACACCTGATGAATAAATGTCTGTATTTGACAATTTCAGTATGATGTTGGTTTTAGATGTTGGGTCGATGTTGGATTGTGGTTAATTTCTAACAACCTAAAATCGATCAAATATCAATATCATTTGTCGTCATTATTGGACATCAAAATAACATTGTCATTAGACGCTGGCTAGACATTCAATTTTGGTCACCTGACATCACAACCTAAATTTACCCTTACATTAATGTCTTAGGGCAATGTGTGTCTGCGGGGCAATAACAAGATGCACTACAGAATGTTACGTTTACACACATCCACAAATTACATGTAAATGCATCAGTTTTTAACTGCATAATACTCACTACTCACTGCTCTTGAGTACTTCTGAAAGGTCTACTTTTTACTCATAGTTTGAGTAATATTCACAACATATACTTTTACTCTACTTGCACTACATTTTTAGGCAAGTAATTGTACTTTTACTTGAGTATGATTTTTCAGTACTCTTTTCACCACTGATAAGAGATGACTGCTATGTTGTATAATCGACAAAAGAAAAGGTGTTTAATGATGGAGGGATCCAGGCGGAGCGCCAGAAATGGCCATAGCTGTGATTCCCCTCCCTGAGGGCAGTTTTCACAATACAACAACCCAAACCTGATCCACAGACAAAAGATTACTAGATAAATCAATGCAATCATGACAATCCCAGTAGTACGAGCCGCAGAGGCACAGAGCGGTGTTCTGGCTGTCGTGTGTTCATTGCTCTGCCGCAGGTCAGTGGCGCTGAAGCAGGCAGTCGTGACCTCTGACTCCAGCGCAGGCTGGTTTGGGGTAAAGGAATGTGCTGGCGTTAAGAAGAAGGGTCAAGCTGCACAATGAGACTCTATGTGAAGAGAGCTGAACGGCGCAGACTCATGGTACTTGTATATGTATGAGGAGGATGAGAGACTGTTCCCAGATACTTTAACGAAATAAAAGGCCACTACACTGCTATTAATTTGGATACTTTTGATGAGGTTAAGTTCATTAATTGATCCATAAATTATTATTATTTTATGCACAGTTTAAGCAGATGTACAGGTTTAATGAATCAAAGTTATATTCTGTATATACTGTATAAGTGGACATGATGTAAAACCTTACATTTGATTTGCTTTGTTTTGGTTTGATGATGAGTAAAAATCTTTACTTTTATCTTCAAAAGCCATGATGTATTCATTAGATAAAAGTTTGGGTTAACTTTTAATATTTGTCTCTTTCTTTAAAGATTTAATAACATTTCTTCCCAATTTCAAACACAAATATTGTATTTTTTGTTTCTCCATCAATACTTTCAATATTGGTTGAGGTTAAACCATAGGTTTTCTGCTTTATTTAAATTGACATGCTAATTAAACAAACAAACAATTTTTGTAATGTAATTTGTAACCAGAAACAGAATATAAATGTTTACCTTTTTCCCCCCCAGACATCAACATTGTAGATTCAAATCTTAGTCATTTGAGAGTTTAGGGAAGCTGACTCAAGACATACATTTGCATTAAAAAGGCATTGGCTGAAAACCTATTTCAATATCTCATGCCATGTTGCTTTAGGAACATTTATTTAGTTTTAAAACATTTGTTAAAATTGAAAATGGAATAATAAATAAATAAAAATTCCACATTTAACCCAAAAAAGAACATTTTATTTTACACATTGCTATTTTTTTTATGCACTGAAAGCATACAGTGACCAGTGGATGTCCATCACTTACATTCTTTCACTCAAAGTTACCGATTCTCATTTGCATTAGCAAATTTGGTGCATCAATATTTGGTTACAAGGCAAACAAGGACCAGTGCTGTTTGATATTATTAACGTCAAATATTGAGCATCTTAAACTGCTTGAATATGAGCACTACTACAATATCATTCAGAACCACAGATCAGTGAAATGAAAAGGTTATTGCTGAATAATAAAATAAAATAAAATAAAATAAAATAAAATAAAATAAAATAAAATGAAATGAAATGAAATGAAATGAAATGAAATGAAATGAAATGAAATGAAATGAAATGAAATGAAATGAAATAAAATAAAATAAAATAAAACTGTTTGGTCACGTTAACATGTTCATAATGTCAATTATCAATACTAATGCATGAAGCACTATTCAGGCATTTATTCATAATTCAGAGTCAACTAAATAATTGAAGAAGCATTTTGTGGTCCCAAGTCTTCCATAGAAAATATTGAACTATATCAAAACTACATTAATTCATGATTGCTAAAAGGACGTGATGAGACTTTCAACCATTATAAGCAAAAAAACGTTTCTGGGAAAGCATTCCACATTGTATGGCCTACTCTAGGAGGCTTTTTGGTCATGTTATTATATACAATAAAATATATTTTGTGTCTGACAGGCCACTTTATTAGGTACACTTTACTAGTATTGAGTTTAACCTTTAGATAGCACTGATATTCAACAAGGTACTGGAAATATTCCTCAGAGATTTTGGTCCATATTGACATGATAGCATCACACAATTGCTGCAAATTTGTCAGCTGCATATCCATGATGCAAATCTCCTGTTCCAACACATCCCAAAAGGTGCTTTATTGGGTTAAGTTCTGGTCACTGTAGAGGCCATTTGAGTACAGTGAACTCATTGTCATGTTCAAGAAACTAGTCTGAGATTTATGACATGACGTGGTTTGGCTGGCCATTCTCTTTAGACCTCTGGCATCAACAAGGCACCCACAGTACTGCCGCTTACTGGATATTTTCTCTTTTTCAGACCATCCTCTGTAAACCCTAGACATTGTTGTGCATGAAAATCCCAGCAGATCATCAGTTTCTGAAATAATCAGACCAGTCAGTTTGGCACTAACAACCATGCCAAGTTCAAAGTCACTTAAATCACCTTTCTTTCCCATTCTCGGTTTGAACTGCAGCAGATTGTCTTGATCATGTCTACATGCCTAAATGCGTTGACTAGAAATTTGCATTAACAAGCAGGTGGACAGGTGTACCTAATAAAGTGGCCAGAAAGTGTACGCTTGGAAAGAGCGAAAAAAAACAATGACAGAACTTCGAGGGATAGTTCACCTAAAACTGAAAATTCTTTCATCATTTACTTACCTTTTATTGTTCCAAACCTATTTGACTTTCTTTCCTTAGTTGAGCACAAAAGTGGACATTCTGATGAAGACTAACTACTTGTAACCATTAACTCTCTCTTTTTATCCTACTAAGGTTATCAATGGTTACAGATTTTCAGCTTTTTTCAAAATATCTTCTTTAGAAACTCATAAAGGTTTAAAACCACTTGAGTGTATTTATTCATAATGAGTTCATTTTCATTTATGGATGAACCATTGATTTAATTCCTGAGTGATTTTTTATTTATTTTTTATTTTTTGAAAGTTATGTTTCGTAAGAATGCTTTTATCATTTGTAGGACTCAATAAGGAAAGTAAACAGGACAGGAATGTGATATAGTACAAAAAAAACGTGTGTCAATCCTACCTTCTCCATGTTAGGTTTAATGCAGCGCACAAAGAAAGGATTGGAGGCACTTAAAGTGGCCATCAGTGCATGAAGAGAGTCCTGAAACACACACACACAGACACAATAACACTAAATTACAGCCCTGTGCAGGAAAGCAGCAGCACCAAAAGTGGCGTTCAGCAACCACAGCTGCTATTTGCTCCTGTTAAAGAGGGCAAACACAGGCTGCGATGGGGCCAGTATTTCCATCAAGGACCCTTCAACCTGGCACTCTGTCCCACAGCCTCAGACTGAGAGGCTCCAGGCCGGCTTTAATGACAGGGGAACAGGGGAACATGCACGGACCCTGTCAAACCCTTGTGCCCGGTTTGTGAGTAATCCCCTGGCTTTAAGAGCCACAGTACAAGGGCAGCTGCCAAATCCCCTGCACGGCAGTTATGACATGCAAAGCCCCGTAACCCCGCAAAGCTGCAGATATACAGGGACACAGACAAAGAGGGCAAAACACACACACATGCAAGACTGACACAAAGACACGCAAGTGCAGAAAAAATAAATTCTGTTATGTCCGCATTCATAACCTTGAACGCCCACCTCAAAATATGAAACTCACATGCAAAGATAATTATAACTCTGTTTTAAAACCTACTGAGCTGCCTTGTGGAATCCTGTCTGATTTTTAAGGAAGTACTCAAACTTTTATGATATCCAACATGTGACTGGTTTGGAGTATTTTTTCTTCACTTAAAGCAGAGGTGTCAAACTCAGTTCCAGGAGGGCAGCAGCCAAGTTTAGTTGCAACCCTGCTTCAACACACTTACCTGTAGGTTTCAGACAAGCCTGAAGGACTCAATTAGTTTGACCAGGCATGTTTAATTAGGGTTGAAGCTAAACTGTGCAGAGTTTTGGTGCTTTAGCACCTGTGACTTCAAAGGAGCTTTCAAATAATTTTTGTAATATTTATAATATACAGTTGAAGTAAGAATTATTAGCCCACCTTTGATTTTTTTTTCTTTTTTAAATATTTCCCAATTGATGTTTAACAGAGCAAAGAAAATGTTCACAGTATGTCTGATAGGATTTTTTGTTGGAGAAAGTCTTATTTGTATTATTTAGACTAGAATAAAAGCAGTTAAAAAAAATTTTAAACACCATTTTAAAAACTAAACTATTAGCCTCTTAAGCTACAGTATATATTCTTAGATAGTCTACAGACCAAACCATCCTCATACAATAACTTGACTAGTTACCCTATCTTGCCTAATTAACCTAGTTAGGCCTTTAAATTTCACATTAAGCTGTAAGGAAATGTCTTAAAAATATCAGGTAAAATATTATTTACTGTCATCATGGCAAATATAAAATAATTTAGTTATTAGAGTTATTAAAACTATTATGTTTACAAATGTTAAAAAAAATATCCTCTCCATTAAACAGACATAAGGGAAAAATAAACAGGGAGCTAATAATTCAGGAGGGCTAATAATCCTGACTTCAACTGTATGCTTTTAATTCAAGAACAAAACCGTGTCTGCAAAAGTTTTAGAATATTTATCGCTGGCTAAATTGAAAGATCTTATATGACTTTTAATCAGTGTTCAGTACAATCAGTAATCAGTACAACCGTCATCTGTGTGTTTCTTGTAGAATGTTTGGTCGCACTTTGTATTAACTGTCGCTAATACCTGTGAACTTACACGGTAACTAGATGTGTAAGTAGTATGTAACTACAGTGTACACACTGGTACATAGTATTTACTTGTGTAACACTGGTGTAACTACACACATGTAACAACAAACAGTAGTATGTCTATGTTCAAATGTGTAACACGACATTAATAACACACCCTTTGATAAACTACCCTTTTAATGTGAATTACTGATGTGCACATGGTATGGTAAATGGTAAAATAAACATGATTTTGTGAAAACAAAATATTAAGAAATTATTAACAACATCGCAGCCTTGTAGACCTGTCTTAAAAGGCTTTTAAAAAATCCTTAAACATCATTTCCTCAATGGAGAAATTGGAATTTTGATTCTGGGAAGCCTGAATCGATAATTTGATGTCAGTAAATACCAATGTCAGAGCAAATATTTAACATTGCACTGAACTATTTTGCAGATGGCATGTTACTGAATGAAATCAAAGTTTCATCTAGCTTCATCCTCCATCTTGGATGCAATTTGTGTGTGTGTGTGTGTGTGTGTGTGTCTGTGTGTGTGTGTGTGTGTGTGTGTGTGTGTGTGTGTGTGTGTGTGTGTGTGTGTGTGTGTGTGTGTGCACCATGTACTCCCCACAAATATAGCAATACCAGTAAATTTTAACCTCATGAGGATTAATGAAGGAATGTAGAAATGTAAAATTGCATATTGTTTCCTGTGAGGGTTGGGTAACAGGGGTAGGGTAGGGGTATCTTATATGTAGTCTGTACAGTGTAAGAATCATAACATCTATGGGAAGTCCCCATAAAGATAGCTGTACAAATACGCGTGTGTAACATGAAACATGATGCTGAATTTGAGCTTAGTGTTAAAAAGTGTTTTTTTTTAGTGTCCATTTAGATGCAGTTCACTATAGGTTTTGAAACAGAACAACAGTCTATTTTTTTAATGTAGTTTTACATGGTATATAAGTTATAGATTCTGTCTCACCCTGAATTGAGAGCTGACGGTGGGTTTGCGGCGGGCGGTGCCCATCTTCAGAGTCTCATCTCCACTCCTGCTGCCAAAACGCTCAAACAGGTCATAGATGAAGTCAAGCCTGAGAAATACAAAAGAATCACTCACAGACATCATTCACTTTAGCAGAAATGTAAATCTTTAAGTTTAAATTTGGAGAAATGTACAAAGGAGTGCACATGAAAAACTTTTTCTTTAACGTTCAATTTCTTTAACGTTTCTTTAACGTTCAATTCACTTTTATGCCATAAGGATTTTAAAGCAAGAAGAATCATAACATTTCAACATTTGATTTGAAGCTAAGAAAAATATGACAATTGGACAAAAAAAGAAAAAAGTGTAAAAGTGTGAACTTAGGGCAAAGCTATTGAGCTATTTAGTGTTGTGAAACAGAGAAGTACAAAATTTTTATTTTTTTTTTAACTATTATTTATTTTATTAAGTTCTTACTGTAAAATAACTGTAAGGCAACTTGTTTTTTTAAGTAACTTTTTTAGTTGACTCAACTTTTTACCAAATTACCGCACTTGACTCATTTTAAGTTGCGTCAACTAAAGCTCTGCAGCAAGCTGCCTTACAATTTTAAGTTGACTCCCTTTTTTCTTTTTTCAAGTTTATTGCAAAATATGTATTGCTATCTCCTTATTTGTTTTAGTTGACTTTAGTTTTGGAATTAAAAAAAAAGATATGTTTAATTGATTATTATACCTATATTATTAGCCCTTAAGAAAATGAGATTTTTTCGATTGGAAACAAACCACCTAACTTACCTAGTTAACACAATTAACCTACACTGTAAAAAATGCAGGATTGCACACAATTTATTTCAATTTGCTTTTGTTATTGGTGGGGACCTAATTTGACACCAACTCCCCAACCCCTAATTGTAAAATTTAAATGTAACTTCACATTTAAAATGTGAAGTTAAAGGAATGTCTGACAGAAAGGTAGTTTAATAAAGGCCTCCGTTTACTGAGGACTTGTTTGTGCATAATCACCTACCACTGCATCTGATCACATTTTTGCAAGTATAATATTGCCATTTGTGCACTTTAAGCTAAAAGATGTCTTTACATGCACATGTTCTTTTCCTTCTTTGAGCGTGCAAACAGTACAGCACATTATATGTTGCACTTTAATAAATAGATAAATAAATCAAATGCAATTAGTAATAAAAACAACATTAAATCAAGCATGTTTTATAGTGCAAAAATAAATTAACATGATTTTACTTTGACAAATAATGAATGCAGACTTCTGGAAAGGCGGAGGCATATGACACAATAACCATTTTATCTCAATCGTTGTTTTTTCATAATTGTTGTGGAGGCCAAAATCGAAACAAATTTTTTATTAATTGCACATTCATGGTTACTATTATGGTGGACTTGTATCGAACTTGACTTCAAGTGACTTTTGAAGTACATTTCTTTTAAATGTAGCTGCTTCAGTCCATGTCTCACCTGAGTCTTGCACAGTAAGCCTGACTGAAAAATTTTACCAAAGCATTTTTTATTTTGAAGGCAATTAAATTATTGGTGGGGGCATTTTAAAAATCTGGGGTTATTGTTGGTGACACATCCCCTTCGTTCATCCTACACTCAAAAGATATATATTTTTGAACTTGTTCAAACTACTTAATTAAAATGAGCTGAAACAACACTTTAAATTAACACTTTTAACAAATTTAAGTGGATTGAACATAAAAAAATTTAGTTGTCCCAATGAAATCTCAAGAATTGTGTTGTCAGCTCATTTTAAATAAGTATTTTGAACAAGCAAAAAAAATAAATAAATAATATGAGTGTAGTTAAACCTTTAAAATACATTAAGCTGAATACTACTATCTTGTAAAATAACTGGTAAAATTTTTTGCTCTGTCATTGTGGCAAATAATTTAGTCATTAAATTAGTTATTAAAGCTATTGGGCTCTATTTTGACGGTCCATGCGCAGAGCGCAAAACGCAGGGCGCAAACGCTTTCAGGGCGTGTCAGAACGCATTTTTGCTAATTTACGGATGGGAAAATGCGCTTTGCGCCAAGGCGCATTGGCTAAAAGTGTTGAGTTTATTTTCTTAATGAGTTATAGGTGTGTTTTGAGAATAAACCAATTAGAGTCTCATCTCTAATTCCCTTTAAGACCCAGCTGCGTCACGCCAAGAGTGCATTTGCTATTTACAGGACGCAAAGTAAGTCTAAAAGGAACAAATGAGCATTTCACAAGCAAACAGTTAACAGTTTTTTTTAACAGAAAACTGTTAAACAGAGCATCTACTGCGTGAGAATGAGAGATAATGGATCACTTTCACATTCGCTCTTGGATAGGGAAACCTTTACGCACAGACATCAATTAGCCTATAAATAATTAATTTCGTTTGTTAAGCGCAAAGATTTGTTTCAAAACTATTTCTAAATTTAGTTCTAATTTCTAGCAAACAAATTAATGAACAATAATGACCAAGTGTGGTCAAAATACTGAGTTATTTCCAAATACACCTGCCATGCCCCATATGGTGTAAAACCTGACAGGTGGGCAAATCTAAGCTTGTTTTTACTAAAACAAATATAAATATGGATATAATAAATAATACTGCTAATAATAATAACATTATACAAAAGCAAATTGTTATGAATGAACTGAAAAAGCCTCCCGAGATGAAGAAGACAAAAAAACTGTGATTTTTCATATTTATATAGGCTAGAAAATAATATGTTTTGTAATATTTTAATCCTTATTTTTATATTCTATATCTATTCTTATTATATCCTATATATATCCTTAATATTTCATTTTTTTCATATGTAAAGATATTTGCCTATTGCTCTCTTGTGCGTATTAAGCAGTGTGTAAGCGAGGCGCAACTCTGCGCTGGAGTTTAGACCGGGTTAGTTTTGGTCTAATGAAAAATCTATTATAGTTTCTCAAAATAGCAACGCGCCAGCGGTCCGCCTCAGAACGCCTCCCTTTTTAGACAAGAACGCCTATGGGCGCACAAATGAGCGCTAATGCATTTGCTATTTAAACAGCGTAGCTGCTAAATATTTATCAGTTATTTTTAAAACCTATTTCACTGTGGAGAAAATACTTGAAGTTTTTAATTCTGAAATCTGACTGTGCGCTCTTCACTGTAAAAAAAACGCTGTTCCACACAATCGTTTTATGTTGGGACAACATGAAGGAGTTAAGTTATAGTTTTTGCAAATGGATTAAACACAAAACAGTAAAGTTGTCCACCCAAAAACTAAAGAATTGTGTTGTGTAAGCTTTTTTTTATTTAAGTAGTTTGAACAAACAGCAAATGTAATTTTTTGAGTGTAGTCAAGATCTCAGGCTTAGTACATATTTTGGACAGTTTTTGTTGTTGTTGTTGTTGTTGTTTATTTAATTAATTGTTTAACCAGGAATGTCCCATTGAGATACAATATCTCTTCTACCAGGGAGTCCTGGTAAAGACAGGCAGAATATAGGACAAAGTTACAAAAAAAAAAAATAAATTTGTTAATTGTTAAAACATGTGCAGTTTTCTAAATTGACAGTCTTTAAAATATGTTTAAATATAGAGATATATGGATGGTATGGATTTCATATGTAGTATATTTAGAAGCTCATTCCATACATATGGAGCATATTCAGAGAATGCAGATTGACCTAACTCTGTGAGAAAAAGTGGCATTTTAGGAGTATATCTGCTGATCTGGTATTGTTAGTATTTGAACAATACTGCAACAAATTAGACATATACTGTGGTCATTTAACAACTAAAGCTTTAAAAATGAAAACAAAAATATGTTGTTTTCTTCTGAACTGTAAAAAGGTTTTTAATAGATAATTTTAAATAGTCTGTCAATGTTAGTTTAAAATCACTTTTTAAAAAAATGTACAAAATATTCCATTTAGTTTCTCAACCTCATAAAAGCTCCATAAATGTATACTTTTATATTACAATATACTATAATTTCCCAAAATATTTGACCTCATTACCATTTGATATCCACAGTGCATCATCACAGTGCATGCATTACTTTCCTTAAAGCAAGTAAGAATACACTAAAGAACTGCATAGATCACCTGCTGTCCTTCAGCATGTTGAGGATATCATCTCTGAATGTGTCTCTGTTTTTTTCTAGGATGCCACGCACATCATACAGCACCTGGCCGACACAGATAAGAAAAGACAGTTACAAAACACAAGTACAATGACCTTAAATACTGCAACATTTATATAAGCCGCAGCACATGTACAGCATACTTGTGTCTGTACTAACGATACTAATTGAATTGTGAAATGCACTGTCTCCAATTCCTGTGTAGTGGAATTGATGGAGCTGGTGCTGCCGCAGATTATTGCAATCACCTGTTGAGCATTATTCAGTCATGACCTCCGTGGTGACAGATTCCTTCACTGATCTTAACACCGTAAAATAAACTCCTGAGCTGCGAAGTATGCCGCATTCACGACACATGCTGCGGGTATTTATATCACCGGCTCGGTAATTGCAATCTCCCATTTAAACAGAGCATTCATCCAAAGCTTATAGTCCAATCTTTCATTTGCGTTGGCATAGAGAGGAGATGCTAAAGATATTCTCCATCTGTAAGACTGGATTGATATTATCGGAACCATCATGTATTATGCTTCAAGTCTGACCAGCAATGGGGTAAAAAAAAGTTCCACCACACTTCCACAATTTCTTGATTGCATTAACAATTTTAAGCAAGTTATGTTTGCATAATGAATTATTTACAGAATAATGTGTTAATTTGCATACACTTCTTTAAAAAAAAATTAACATTGGATGAAATTATAAAGGGATATTGCTTGGCTATAGGTGACCTTCGAGCTCTTTTGGGGCAGGTGATTTTTAATGGGGAATTAAGACAATGTGAACAGGAAGCTAATACACAAAAATGTCAATCAAACACTCCTTTTGACAATGTAGCAAGTGATTGGGGGCAGTGATAACAAGAAAAGTTCCTGCACCACCTAGTGCGACGCATAACATAAAGTTCACCCCTAAGTAGGGAAATACCGATACCATTTTTTGAAACAGATCAGATACCAAAATTCTTGGTATCGACCAATATAGATCATATACTGTGCCATATTTTTTAAAAACAGAATACACTTTCTGTAGTTTTGGTGATAAACAGAAATAATATGTCTTCTTTAATTTAAAAAAAAATCACCTATAGGACTACTGTATATGATAGACGGCACAATCTAACTAAAAACATGATGCTTGCTATAAACTATATAGGATAAATTATTTGAGCATTCAATATGACATTGATATGATCTGTTATGGTACAGCTTATGTTTCCTTTTTTCGTATTAAGATTTTTCTTTGAAATGTAATAGGTTACCACTATTGAGCCTTTTAGCAAAGCCTGATATTTTCCTGAAGGTTTGAAGCAGACTAAACTTAACCCTCTAAGGCCAGTTTTACTTAATAAACATTCCCTTGCCGAAACTCGCTGCAAGTGAGACAGAGAAAACATGTCTGAAAAATTATCTTTTTGAAACGAATTTTGTTTAGTATAATTTGTTGGTGAATGAAGCGCTTAATGCATCATTAAAACCTCCAGTATCTATGGACAAAACTGAGCATCAGAAAGGGAAGAAATTTGTGCGTTGAGGATCTGACCCATGTATTAATGAGCCTTTTCTAATTAAAAGTTTCAGGTACGCCTACATTGCGTGTGAAGAGCAGATAATTACCCTCTCTACTCCAATGAATGTGATCTGCTGATATAACCGAAACAGCACAACAGCAATGAATTCCTTATTGCAAAACTAAATGCATTTCTCCACTGATTATTTAAACTAACAAGAACAAATAGTCTTAGAAAAAGTTTTTTGCGTTGTCATGAACGCGACACGCAGTTTGAATTGTAAAAGAACTGAAAATGATTGACAGGCGCAGTGGAGGGAAGAGCTGAACTGAAAATGAATTTAACCACTTGAATATTCATCTGTGCTTCACATTAAACTGTAAAATGGCTTCAAAACATTTAGGAAATAGTAGGCCTACATGACAACTTTATAGTGCCTCATAATAGGCTACCTTCGTGGCTTTTGTTGGCTTATAAATTACACAGAATATAGCGCACATGCAAGATCGTATCTGGATCGGTACCAGCTACACGATCCAGCAAAAATATGCGGTATCGAATCAATATCCAATCCAAGTATCGGGATCGCTCCATCCCTTTCCCTAAGGCAGATGAAACACCAGCAGCATATTTAATGAGATGCAAACAGGAGTGGGAAGCCCAAATTGGGACACATCCTCATGCTAACTAAATACAAGAAGGAGTGTTCAGAGCTTCTGTGGTTGAGGGGACTTCAAGCTGTGTTAAAACAGCTCTAAAAGAAAACCCTGACCTTCCAGGAAGTGCTTCAGCCACCTGGAGAGACACTTGCTGAATCACATGAAAAGAGCTAAAGATAAAGCTGATGAGAGTGTGAGATTGAGGAACTGAAAAACCAATTAGTGAAATTACAGGTGAACAAAGCCAGACACAAAGTCAACGATCAAAAAAAACAAAACAAAGATAAAGACAAAGGTAAACAATTGGTGCAGTCACCTGACCCTAAACAATCTTACATGACACCTGTGTACAGCCAATCGCTAGACCAACCACCCAAATGCCAGCCTCATTTTAGAGGACAGCAAAGGGAAGTGGAGAGGGTTGCTTCCGGTGTGCGCAGTTGAACCACCAAATAAGTGACTGCCAGGCTTCGCAATGCTACACTTGTAAACACCTATGCGAAATGTGTCCCCAAGGACAGACCCAACAAGCCCAGAGAGGGGGTGTGCAAGGAGGCCAAGGCTCTGTGGCACCACATGCAAAGCGCCTCATGCGTTCTCTTTGGTAGCATTGTATAACCAATAGGACATATCTGTGCGACCCAGGGCCCTAATCGAATAATTCATTGGTAATTAGTAAATTATTAATACTTTTGACATTAATCTCTGCCTCCTGAGTTTGTACTGGACACGTAAGGAATTATAGAGCAATATTCCAACAGTTCAAAATATTTTTTTTTTCAAATATCGAAATAAAAAAAAAAACCCCAAAGAGTTTTCATCACTTTTCATCACAATTCAAAATATACTGCAAACAGCCTGAAAAAAACTGTAGAATAAATTAATGTGTAAAAATATCCTTCTTTAAAACCCTCAGACTACACATTGTATAAAGCGATTAATTCCATTTAAAAAGTGAGTAAACCCGTTGCCTTAAAAGCAACAATTTGATTTTAATTAAAAAGTCAGTAAACCCACTGACTTGACTTTTATAATTATGCATAGTTAATTATACACAGTTTGTTTGTTTAATTAATGATTATAAGGCAATAAGTTTACTCTTGTCACTGACTCGGTCCCAGTCATTCCCCTCACTGGCCAGCAGAGGCCACCATCACCGAACCTCTAAGCATTACGTCATCTACTTAAACTGATAACCACACGCACCTGCAGCACATCACGTTAACAACCCACACTTACACATATAAGCAGCACACACACTCAGTCCGTTGCGAAGTCTTGTTCTGCCCTGTCTGATATTTCTGAGCGTTATCTTCTTGCCTGATCTCCCGTGTATTACCTGGACTGTTATCGACCTTGTGTTGCCTTCTGCCTGCCCCGAACCTTGCTTGCACTGTGACTCTGATCCACGCCACCTCCCCTGAACTTAGCCTGATATCCCGACTCTGATCCACGCCGCCTGCCCTGAACTCAGCCTGATATACCGACTCTGATCCACGCCGCCTGCCCTGAACTCAGCCTGATATCCCGACTCTGATCCACGCCGCCTGCCCTGAACTCAGCCTGATATACCGACTCTGAACAACGCCGCTTGCCACTGATCCATGCCTCCTATATCACTCCTTGACAGCCAGCCGCCAGTCCTTAGACCCATACTGAATACTACTGATGTGAGTTCGCACATAAATGCTTATTGTATGATTGTGTTTGAACTGTGTTTAATAAATATACTGCAAATGGATCCCTCCGTGTCAGGCTCCTCGTTACAACTCTCTTTTTTATGTAGTTAATGAATTGCTTTTTAAAAGATGGTATGAATAAATCTGGATAACTGTTTATTCTCAGAAAACTGTCTTTATAAATTTGTAATGTAATTGAAATCTAAAAATATATGCTGGATAAGTTGGCAGTTCATTCTGCTGTGGTGACCCCTGATGACTAAGCCGAAGGAAAATAAATGAATAAATTGAAATCTACAAACTCAAATTTCTAAAATGCTTTAAAAGATACACATAAAACTGCATTTTATTGGACTTTTTCTTTTCATTAAGCTGGAAAATAAACACTTCTATGAACATCCAAAAAAAAAAAAAAAGTGCTCGCCTCAAAAAAATGATGCCTTTACTTGAGAACTACAATTACAGGCTTTAATACCAAATGCAATTCTAGATGTTTTTACTGGAAAACTGGATTAAATCAAAGATTTTTTTGGATTAGAAAAAGTCAAAAGCAAGTAGAAGCATGAATGAAAACTGTCAGGAGGAGAAAAATTGCAACTAGAGAAGGAGCCGAATGACGTGCCAAATGCGTGTGGTTTCCAGCACATTAAACTGTGGAGGCTTCGTGTGGTGCCATGGTGAAAGGGCAAACCAGCTCTTCACTTTTCATCTCTCTCTCTCTCTCTCTCTCTCCTCTCTCTCTCTCTATCTCTCTCTCTCGCTGTACTTTTTCAGCATGTTGCTCCGACTGCTTTTTCTCAATGTCCTGAGACTAATTCCTCTCTTACAGCCTGAAAGCGATACTGTAAACGATGAGAGAGGGGGAAAGACTGGGAAAGTCCAGTGTCCGCTTGGTCCTGGTAATCACACTTGTGCAATCATGACAGACAGAAATATCAGCCAGTTCTTGAGATTAAAGTTATCAACTGGAATGGTCATTGGCTCTGGTGTTATTTAAAAAATCTTACCCAAAAATTAAATGAAGGACACTGTCATTACTTACTCGCCCTCTACTTGCTTCAAACCTGTTTGAATTTCTTTCCTTTGAACAGAAAAGAAGCTATTTTGAAGAAAGCTGAAATCCTGCAGACTTTCATTGTATCTGTTTTACCTGTGGAAGACAATGGCTACCGGTTTCTAACATTCTTCAAAATATCTTTTTTTGCTGATGTTGTTCAAAAAAAGAGAAATGCATGAAGGTTTGGAACCACTTGAGGGTGAGTAAAGTTTCTTTTTTGAGTGAACTACTGTAAACTTTTAATGCACATTTTATGTTTGAAGTGATCAACTGGCTCTGAAATTTGATTGGCTGACGAGTGTGTTTAACTGGGTTTACTGTTCGTATTGATCCATTTGATTGTGCATTACTTGTTTAATCTTACAAAATAACTGGCAATATTTTTTCTGAGCCAATCCAAATTCCTCAATCTAAAAGTTTCAATCAATAAATCAAGCTTGCGTTTTTTTTTTCTATTGTAATATTTCGAATGTAGCATTCTGCTATAATGCTAATGCTAATTAGCATTACCTGAGGCCATGTGACTAATGTTGAATCAGATATTCATTTTTACAGGGAACAAAGTACTTTTGTAAACAAAGTATTGTAATGTTACTGTAAAGCAGAGTCTGTGTCACACCTTAGAGTGTGTGTTATTGGCATTCATGGTTTATAGAATTGTGTAAAATGTTATTGGTATCACAATGTAAAAAAATGGTTAATAAGGACAATAATAATAACGGTTCCTGTGTACCTAGAAACCAAAAGGCATAAATGAAAAGCATTAAAGATCTATAAAGAGTCCCCATAAAATACATATTAATGTATTTCTTTATCTCTCTCTCTTTCTCTCCCTGTGTGTGTATATGTGCGGATGCGTGCATGTGTGTGTGTTTGGACTCTCTTAGGAGCCTCTGATGTCAATTAAATGCATTTAAACTGTACTAGAACTTTTAGTAGACCTCATAAAATCGTTCCAACCTCACAAATAATGCACCACAAAACCAAAACTGTAAAACAAGACTTATTTCTACACACTGTGATTTTCTTCTGTATACCTGGTTAGACAGTCTTTAAATTCTAAGAAAAAAAAGTTTTGTTTCTCTCATGTGGGAAATTTCTTGCCTATGGAGCTGCTAAGATTAATTAAAAGTACTAAACATTTTAGATTATATATTAAGTCAAATTTTAAGACCATTGTTAATAAAATTTAAGACTTAAGATGAACACTTTAAGGATTTTTTTTATAAAGGAAAAGGAAAACATTTTTACTATTCTTATCAAAGAAATTCTAATTTAATTATTTCTCAGCCACTTATTTTAAATAAGGTATCAAAACAAGAAAACTCTGGTTTCTTAGATGCATTTTTCAGCATAACATTTCTTTTTTTTATCTAAATATACGCAATAAATTATCTAAATATACTCTTCAGCTCAGTCTCCTCACCATAAATAAATGAAAAACTTTTGAGCGAATGTTATTATAAGAAAGATAATTAAACTATATTGGTTAAAAGAATAAAAACTTAATTAAAAAAATAAATAAGAATTTAAATTAAAAAAATAAGACTTTCTAAGGTCTAAAATTTAGTTTTGAGAATTTACGACATTTCAAGACCCTGTGGACATGCTGTAAATGGATCAAAGACAATATCATTATAGTACCTACATTTTTTTAAAGTTATTTTATTTAACAGGGTCATTAATAATAGTAGAACTGTAAATGAGCCAGAATTAGCCACAAGGGTATCAAATATAAATTGAACATTTACAGAAAGCGTATTAAATGTGATTTGGATTTTTCCAAATAACTTTTGTGTCATTAAAATATCAAAATATGGGTGAAATCATTATCCATCATCATTCAGATGATGTATTTGTAGTGTATGTTAATGTTTAGGATCAGTTTTTTTTTCATGTTTTTTTTTTTTTTGAAAGAACATTATTCTGTTTATCAAGGTGGCATTTATTAAATGTAAAAAACTGTAAAATTGTAAAATATTTGTAAAATGTTTTATTAAAATATTTTTATAAAATAATAATAATAACAACAACAACAACAACAACAACAACAACAACAACAACTATTATTATTATTATTATTATTATTATTATTATTATTATTATTATCATCATTATTATTATTATTATTATTAAAGCACAGTAATAATAACAGTTCTAATAAAAGTTATTATATAGTGCAATAACATTCCACAATTTTACAACTTTTACTGTAATTTTGATTAAATAAATGCAGCCTTGGTTAGCTGGACAGTCTTATTTTAAAATATTTAAAAATCATACCAAACTTTTGACAGGTCGTGTATATATTCATTAAATAATATAAAAGTGAATGAATAAAAATGAAAAAAATATATATATATATATTGCCGACAAATTGACAAAACTAATGGTTTGAAGAAGAGCAGCAAAGCATTTACATTGATGACTAAATAATATCACTAAATGATTCTCACAAGGAAAATGTATGTACTATTTACTATTATAAACCTTTTTTTTCTTCTTTTACTGTTGAACACAAAAGAAGATATTTTGAAGAAACTCCTGTCATCCACAGTAAGAAAAACAAATACTGTAAAAGTCAATGTTTCCAGGGTTCCAGTTTTCTTCAAAATATCTTTTTTTTGTGTTTAACACACAAAAGAAACAAATTTTGTGTGTCAAATTATTCTTTAACTAAATTTGCCTGACAAGATATGTTAACTATTGAAACACTGAATGAGATTTTAATGGGATGGCTAAAATTCTGCATTTACATTCCCAGCACCATTTACCTTGCTGTATATCAATTTACAGAATTTTATGTACTGTATATCTTTACTTTAAAAGATACAGTAATTTTCACTATGCAACTTTAAAATATACAGTAAAATACTGAACTACAGTATAAACAGTTCATAGTACAGTTAAATACTGTGTAAATTACAAAAATGGTTAACAGTGTGTTTTTCCATAAATCCTTGTCAAAATGCATGAGTATTGTCATTATTGTCATGTAAAAACACTAAGAAAAAAACATTCATCATTGACCCAAATACTATAACACTACAGATCATCTCCAACACTAAAACAACAGTACATGTTGACATAATTACCTCTCCCGCATAATGTTTAATACCAAACTGGTGATCTGCCACTCTGGGTTTCACGTAATATGGATTAGTCTGCAGAGAAAAAAAAACACACACACAACAATTTCACTCAGATCATAATCAGCAGCAAGTGCAAATACACATACACACACACACACTCACACTCAAACACAGGTGCTTTAGTCAGTGAGTCTGTACAGTATGCAGGTTTTCCGAGGACACACTCATTGTTTGTGCGGCCTGAGGAAAAGCCTGCTCATGTTACTGTATTGTGCCTGTGCGTGTGAGAGGCTGTGGGAGTGTGACTGGGTGGTGCCCACTGGCTCAGCGCTGGGCTTTATCAGCGAGTTTGAAGAAGAGTTAACTCTCTGTGATCTAAAAAAGAAAGCGTTTTGAAAAAGACGACTTACGGCATGCCGGCTGTGGAGCTTCTCCAGCAGGGTGTAGTCCGTGCCTTTAGGGAATCGACTCTCTTCATTGATAAGAGCCAACATGCCCAGTTTCTGAGGAAAAGAGCACACTGAATTGAGCACACGCTTCCTCTGGGTCTCCACTATATCCACTGCGCAAATATTAATGATCATTTAGAGTAGTTAAGGATACGAATGAAGAAATTTGGAAGGATGCTGGAAAACCGTGACCACTGAAATGTCAGGAGGACGTCAGTAGCCACTGGTTTTCAACATTCATATTTTCAAATATCTTCTTTTGTGGAGGTTGTGTAAATAAATATTTGTTTGTTTTTGAGTGTACTGTCCCATTAATTATAATCAGATGAAGGACCATATATGATATCATCATTGACATTAGTGTAATATAATAGTTTTTAGTTTAAATGCTTAGTAATATCCACAAGAAAGACTCCAGAGTGCTATATAAAGGGTTAACAGTGGGCAATAGTAACAGTTACAAATACTGCATCTTAGATTATACACAAATGTACTTGTTTTGTCATGTAATCATTTTTGTCAGATAAGGTAAGGATTATTTCAAGGTGTTCTTTCTCAGTGAAAATGCAGGAAGAGGATTTAATTTATGATGCATTTAATCACTGCAGTCATTTGAGATAATAACTCGCCGCACGGTACTTTCAGTGACATGTGAAATGGAAAAAATATATGATTTGGTAGATTTTTATATAGGAGAACCCACTTTGCTGTGATGTTTAGCAGTTGTTTGTACAAAACCATTACAATGCAATACTTTTAAGAGATTTTACTGTAGATAAAGTAGGAGTGTGATGAGATGCCTACTCTGCGAGACTAGACGAGACCCAAGATTGACGAGATAAGATTTTTACACAATTGTTTAAGAAATCTTTAATGGTTGCCCTAAGCTTTTCCTTTTAAATGATGATTCCTCCTTTGACTTTTCTTTATTTCAAAAAATATATATATTTTCCACTTTAACAACAGCTAAAAAATGTTAGCTTTACATTGGCAGCCTCCACACTCCCTGGACCGGAAACACTGGATGTAAATATTGGACATCACAAAGATGGAACTGTCTGTGGCAAGGATGCATGGCACTTCTACAAAAACTAATACTTCATGGATATGTGCAATAACTAAGATAAAAGATATGCTATTGTGAATTTTTTCTTTGTATTCTATTCATGTGTAAAAGTCCAATGTATCGACCCTTGTTAAAAGTGTTCTTGTAAGAAGTTAAATGCAGAGGTTAATTTATTTATTTACGTATTTCTTTATTTATTTATTCTACCCATTTTTTATATTTTATTTTATTCATTTAGTTTTTTTGCTCTGATTTCTTTTTTGTTAATTATTATTTTACCAGGGGTGGGTAGGGTGGGGTAATAATAGAAAAATGAAATTGGTTGCTATCTTTGTCTGTAACTCTGTATGCAAGAATATTTTCAACTGTTCAATAAAAACATAATCACAAAAAAAATAAAATTTTTATTGCTGAAATATGTCTTTTGTTCAACTGGAAAAAAATTACAAAATGCAAAACTATGTATGTATGTATGTATTTTTTTTCATTATTATAATGAATGTTTATAATGAATGTTCTTTAACCTATATTTTAATGAATTCTTTGCAGTAAAGGACATTCAAATACTGCAAAATATTTGTTAATATATGAAAAATAGATTTTTTTCAACTGGAAAAAAAAAATCACAAAATGCAAAACTATTTAGGTGCTTTTTTTAAAAAATAAATAAATACTGGTATTTTATTTCTATTTGAATAAATTATATGCCGTAAAGGAAATACAAACACTGCACAATATTCAGCTATAAACTCGACTGACTTCACATGAGAAATCAAACTACTTTCCACAAAATGAATAATAAAAAAAAATGAATGTAATTTTTGGTGTTTCTGAGATGTTGTCACATCCCTACTAGATATAAACACAGCTGTTCAAATGTTTTTGCTGTGTACATTTAAAAACAATCTTTTATTTTAGTCTCAAATACTTATTAGACTACATCTGTGAGAAATAAAACAAAAATATTGTGAAATATTTCGACAATTTAAAATTGTACTGTTTGTTGTTAGTGCCACATGATAGTTCAGAAAACAAATTCGGATTTGCTGCTCAATATTATTATCAGTAAAATAAGTTGCTTGTTTATATTTTGTGCATTCTGAAATATTTTGTCAAGATTATTTATATATTTATTTATTTATTTATTATTTATTATATTTTGTCAAGATTATATGAAACTTCATTTGTATGGATTTAGGTCAAATAGTAATATGTTTTATTCTATAAAAGTCTATAACATTTCTTCCAAATTGCTTTTGTCAAAATAACAACTTTTCCTTGTTAGAAAACATACTAGTTTCTAGAACTCTTCGGGACTTCTAAAACTTTGTTATTGTGTTGTTTAAATTAAATATTAACAAATCTAAAAAGTTGGCTCCTTAACCAATTACCCTTTAATCAAAAGCAGATATATTTTATATTTTAATTTGAAAAGAAAGGTCATCAGTAGTGTACAATATGTACATTTATAGTTGAAATTATGCAAATTATTTTAATTATGAGCTATTTTTTACAGCTTTGTTCAATGTTTCTGAAAATCCACTGACTACTTTAGTAGATGATAGAATTTTTCATATGCTTAAAGTGACCAGCAACTGAAATCATTTCTATAAGCATTGTGGGATGTTGATTAAAGGTCGAAAGTCCACCTTTTCGATGAGATCCAAACACTCTGCGTTGTCCATCCAGTCGATGGCTTCCCAGTGGATTCCCTCCCTGAACGGAGACACAAGAGAAGCTCTTGAGCAACAGATACACACATCACAACAGCACAAGTACACAAAGGTGGTATTATCCTCAGGGTTCATGTGATGAAATGAGCTGTGACCGGGCTCTGCTGACCCCCCTCAGCAATCACATTTCGACACAAGAACACAACTGTGTGGGAAAGAGGAGAGCCATTCACACATCTGGCAGACTGCCTTCATAGCCACTACAGCAAGAACAGGCAGAGAAACCCTTGGCCTTCGTTCATCAGCCATCTCTTCATCACTGTAGACTAAAAGAGGGAGCCCAGGACAGCCCACGTCCCGTACATCACCGTCATGTACAGTCTTAGACCACTATTGTAACCCCCAAAAAAGTTTTAACACATTTAAAAGTACAATCTTTACAAATTACTTAGTGAAGCACAATTCCTAAGAAAATTTACTCAATTACAGTAATTTGTTACTGCCCTAAGCAATTTCAGCCATGAGGTCCAACAGTCCTACTATGCACCCTTTGTATTTTTATGTATTTATTTTTAACTTTACTTTTATTTGTAGTTTGCAGTCTTTTATCACTCTTCATTTGTATCTTAATGCATTCTTTACATTTGATATCAGAATAAATCAGTGTTGCCAGATTGAGCGGTTTCCCGTCCAACTGGGAGGTTTTGAGTTTGATTGTGTGGGTAAAAAATGGCATTGGCAGGTTGACAAAATTTGGGTAGTTTTAAAACGTAACTTCATATGCAACTTATTTAACAAAACATAATCGTGTGCGCGTACTCCATTCAGTTAGTAGTGACCAGTGCATAGCATCAACCGCGTGGGCCCACCCGTAAGAGGAGGTAAAGGAAAGTCATTTCAAAATCTGACTCCTTGAACAAATCTGACACCCTCCATGTGCACGCGCATCACGCAGCGCCTGCAGTTAAACTCACATCGGTTAATAATGACATTCTTATCAATCATTTTTTTCTGAAATTGACAGCAAGAACAAACATTCAATACAATTCAGCTTTATTTGTATAGCACTTTTACAATGTAGATTGTGTTAAAGCAGCTTCACATAAATGGTCCCAGTAACTTAATCAGGGTTTCCCAGAGATGGGTTGCAGCTGGAAGGGCATCCGCTGCGTAAAAACTTGCTGGATAAGTTGGCGGTTCATTCCACTGTGGCGACCCCAGGATTAATAAAGGGACTAAGCCGACAAGAATATGAATGAATGAATGAATGAACTGGATCAGGGTTCAGTTTTTACGCAACATAGAAGCCAATTGGAACGAATTTTAACCCCATTTTAAAAGTAAAACATACTCAAATGGGTGTTGTAATTTCAACAATAAGTGCAATGTGTGGGTGAGAGGGGGGCCGTGTTTCAATGTGATCCGGTTATTTTGTGGTTATGTTACTGCATGTGTTAGTTGCTGTATGGTTAAAAACCCTGACGGTCAAAGTAACTAGGTTGATTTTAATTTAAATATATTAAAATAAAATAAAAAATTTATCTAAATCTTTGTGCGTTTGGGTGTGTTTTGGACAGCTGAAAAAAAGTCATATCTGGCAACACTAAAATAAATTCATAATACATTTTAAAACTAAATCTTCACCTGATTTGGCTGGTGGACTGATCCATGACTGGCAGTAGGGGAGACACGCTTGCACAGGTGTAATAATTGCATTACAAATTTACTTGTAGACCCTTAGCATACAAAATATGACAGAAAATCACGTTATATATAATTTATAGAAACTTCTAGGTATTTCTAGGTATATATTTATTGCGACCACCTCCCCACCCCCACCTAGTTGTTGCAGAAAATAACAGTAGCCTAAGACTTTTGTGCAGTGCTGCATAACATTCTGTGCTATGTCACCCTGTCGTGACCTGAGCTCTCTGTGTGACCTGATAGCACGGAGCTACATGTCTGCAGACTAGCCTGTGTCTACGCTTCAGGTTTCTGCAGCGATTTCATGTCCGGATGATAAAACTCTGAGGACCTAATCTGTACAAGGACACACGTGTGAATGCTTGGACAACAACACTGCGGGCATGCCATCCAGCTGGATATAACTGAAGATAGGCAGGGTGTGCATTATTTACTAATAATTCAATGACCCGGAGGTAATTATTCTACTTATACTACACAACACATAAAGACACAGTTCAGATGTTAATTTTCAAAACACTTGTCATGATTTTGCCCTCAAATGGCTCCTGTGAGTTGGAAAAGGTTTTTACACATCTCATCCAAAGTCTTTTGATTTTTGTTTTTTAGCCAGTGAAATAACTGTAATCATCCAGTGTAGTGAATGCTCAGAATGCTTTAGAATGCTCATCAGCCAATCAGAATCAAGCATTCAATAGCCCCTTTGAATGAAGTAAGGAACAATTGACAAAAGGCCATTAAATGTTTAGACCTTAGACCCCCATTGAAATGTAGTTGCCTATTTACCTGGTTCTCGGTATATGTAAAACTGAACATATTGAGCTAAAAAACTACCTGGTTGAACTAATATACAAGTGAGGATGGTACAGGCCACAAATATTTGTCCAGAATGCATTCATACACCCGTTCTTGCTTCTATTTTGCTTAAGAATCTGAGTTTTTGAAGAATCTGAGAATCTGAAAGATGAAAGACAGTGTAGAACTATCTAAGGCCCCGTTTACACTAGTGCGTTTTAGGCCCCGTTTACACTAATGCGTTTTAGTTTGAAAACGCATAAGTTTTGCTACGGTTACGCCATCCGTCCACACTACGCCGGAGTTCTCGAGCGCCGAAAACGGAGCGTTTCGAAAACGCTGGAGAGGCCGTTTTCATTCTGAAACGCAGCTGCTCCGTCTCAGGCCCCGTTTACACTAGTGCGTTTTAGTTTGAAAACGCATAAGTTTTGCTACGGTTACGCCATCCGTCCACACTACGCCGGAGTTCTCGAGCGCTGAAAACGGAGCTTTTTGAAAACGCTGGAAAGGCCGTTTTCATTCTAAAACGCTGCTGCTCCGTCTCAGTGTGGATGGGGAAAGACGGACACATCTGAAAACGGAGGCGGGGCTGCAAACGTTCACCTATCTGATTGGGGCTTTTCCTCAATATTAAGTAGCCCACACACAGTTCAGTCTCGCATCCTCTTCTTGTAAGTTCGCAAGTTTGATCAAGGCTGCAGTCTCCCCCTTCTCAGTTTGATATGGAAAACATACCGAGGACACGGGTAAATCTTCAAAGGGAACAGTGTACTTTATAAATTCATTCACATCACCTTGGCTACGTTGTTTCACTTTCTCAACAATAAAATGTAAACATGATTTAAGGAACTGCCTATTTTCATTTTAATATTAGCAACTTAACAGACAGCAGAAATGTTGAGGCGTCGTGCTGCATATATGAGCGTCATCTTCACTGTGTAGATATTTATAAGAAAACGGAGCCGATAACAACAGCCTCCTTTCAATTTCAGTAAAAAATACGAAACGCACCCTCTCTTTTGCTGAATATCAGTTTTAATAATCGATAATTATAAAAGTATAACATGCAATAAGTTTATACATTGTAGGAAATAAAGGCAAGCGATCAGTCAATGTACCTGGATTAATCATTAACTTATCTTTGCGCTTAACCAAAACATGTTACCCGTGAACAAGTAACTTAATAGATTCCAATGACCAAAGTCAGGGAATTGGCTTATGTCGTCAGATAAAGACAACAACATGAATGAAATATCACGTTTACCAAATATAGTGAGATTAGATCCAGCGGGAGATGCGTGATGAGCAGTCCGACAAGCAGAGCTCTCATCTGGGAAGAAATGCTGGAGCGCTTGCCCGAGAGTGTGTGTGTGTGTGTGTGGTCACGTGATGTGTGTTTTCAGCGTTTTGGTGTGGACGGAGAGCTGTTCAGAAACGCTGGGTAAAACGCGAGTGTGGACACGGATCGTTTTCATTCTACAACGCCGTTTTAAAACTAAAACGCACTAGTGTAAACGGGGCCTAAGCTGGTTTTTAGAGCTTAGGCTAAACTCATTGCACAATATGCTAGCGGGCATTTTGGTATTGGCAGGCAAATGCTTATTTTTGTAATGTAATCATTGTTGGCCTATTATTTTAATAGATTTTAGGTTTTAATTTTTGATTGGTGCCATCCACATGATATGACATATGCACAGACGCACAAAATGTCAGCGGTATAGGAATTTTTGCATGCAATTTGCAGTCCCAAGTCATTTTTGGGAAAAAAAGATTCAGTTGCTGTCTTGAAGTTTTACTTATTTTTTGCAGGTAGGGTTTTAAATAAAAAAAAATAATGATGATAATAATAATAAAAAACTTATATTAATTCTAATTTATCCACTGTATTTGTTTGTATTTTGCTTTTATAATCAGGTTGAAAATAAAACTCTAGCAAGATTCATATTTTTTGGGCATACATGACTTATTAGTCTCTGTCAAACATTCCATATCAGTGCATCCATAGTTAAAATCTAAGAAATACAGCTTTTTTTGCTGATAGATATCTGGATCTGTGCTAACCAGGGCCATTGACAGGACTCACCTGTTATATTCAAGCTGCTCCAGGGAGAAGATGTGCTTGTTGAAGTACTCCTGGAGCTTCTCGTTGGCGTAGTTAATGTTGAACTGCTCGAACCGGTTCACCTGGAGGGGGAAATAAGTCATAAAAACATGACAACATGCCAATGACAGACAGTCTGTCTGGAACATTTTCGCCCCTCAATACTTAACAAATCCCCCACCTCGAAGTTCTCGAAGCCAAAGATATCCAAAATGCCAATGGACTTGAAGTTGTCCTTTCCTTTGATTTTCTGGTTGATTCGGGCGATGATCCAAGAAAAACACTGGGAATACAATGCCATCGCCACAGAATCCCGGGAATCAATTGCCTTTGGAAAGCAAGAAACATAATAATCCAGAGATATTTTCCTTTAGTTAGTCTCCAACAGTGCAACTGAAACCCACAACATCAACAAGCAAAAGTCTCAAGAGGTCATTATGAAACACTAATATGTCCATTTGAATTTCATCATCGTGGAAATACAGTGAAGTTCACAGTTTTATGGGCTGAATCTGCAGTGGTGTGTAATTGTGCGTGTCTTTAAACATGCTGTGAGTGAGATATGTGAAAATAATGAATGTCTTTCCTGATTTATACACAAGATCACATAAAAACCACCCAAATCCAACAAAGAACCCGGTTAGCCTTTCAAAGTAACCCCAACAATTTTGTGTTGGAAAAACAGTAACATCATGTTCATGTTAAAGCTGCTGAGGTTTTCATTTCAGTATGTTTATATACTTCCTAACGTTATTGTGACTGAATATTAAAAAGACAAACTCTATTTTTCAGAGAATTAACTAGCATGGATTTATTTTTCACCAAAATTATTTTTGCTACTTGTTCAAACTACTTATATAAAATGAGCTGAATCAACACAATTCTTGAGTTTTTTTTTAATTGTTTTACGTTCAATCCACTTAAATTGGCTAAACAAAATAATAACGTTAATTAAATCAATTTGTGTTAAGACAACATATCCTCACCTTAGAATTATAAGGTTCTATCTGACATTTTTGGCAAAATTCAAATATTTCACATGTATTCTTATTAAATGACAATTTTTTTCCATGATGTGATGATATTTTGTATAAGATGTTTACATTTTAAGACTTTATTTAAAAAACAAAAAAGTTTTATCGACAAAGTCGAACACTAGCTTGGAGTTATAAGGTTCTTTCTGTGAGCCAATCTGCATTTCAGATGCACGCACAAGGACCAATCAGGATCAGTTTTCTTTGTCATTTTTCCGGATTGCTCCGTTGACAGCAAGAAAAACCAGAAAGAATCAGAGTCGACTAAATAATGCCGCACTACACAAAATTGAGATGAAACCTGAAACTGAAAAGATGTGTGTAAATGTGATGGTTTAGAAGCATTTTTGACATTGAGATGAAATGTTAAATTTTACATAGTTGAAAAAGAAACAGTAAAAAAGTAATATAATAAATGTAAAATATTTTATTTGTATATATAGTCTGTGAAATTAATTTGCTCATTGTCTGTTTTCTTTTAAAGTCTTTAAATTTGATTTGAATAATTCATATGAAGCATAAATTTCAAAACATATTACAAATGTATTATATAAAATTAACATCTGAACTGGACAAAATATTTAGCACAGCCTTGTATGCTTAATTTGAACAAGAAAAATAGTCATCCTGAAACATTAAATAAATGTTATAAAAAACAAATGCACCTTTCTTGAACATTAACATATTGTTACAATACCAGTTTTAATTTTTTTTTAATAAACTAATAAGCAGACTGGTTGTATTTCTTGAAAAGTAATGCTTCAATGAAGGATCTGCCAAATAGAACCTTATAATTGCAAGTGAATAATGACTTTTTAGAATTAGAAGGTTTTGTCTGCATTTGCCCTGTTTGTTTTACCCCGACTTGCACATTTAAGAGAATAATAATAATTTACAGTTGAATAATTATTAGCCCCCCTAAATTATTCGCCCCTGTTTTATTTTTTCCATAATTTCTGTTTAACGGTGAGAAGATTTTTTACACATTTGTAAACATGATAGTTTCAATAACTCATTTCTAATAACTGATTTATTTTATCTTTGTCATGATGACAGTAAATAATATTTTACTAAATCTTTTTTAAGATACTTCTATACAGCTTAAAGTGACATTTAAAGGTTTAACTATGTTATTTAGGTTAACTAGGCAGGTTAGGGTGATTAGGGAAGTTATTGTATAATGATGGTTTGTTTTGAAGACTATCAAAAAAATTAGGTTAAAGGGGCTAATAATGTTGTTCCTAAAATGTTTTTTAAAAAATTAAAAACTGCTTTTAATCCAGTCAAAATAAAACAAATAAGTCTTTCTCCAGAAGAAACAATATTATCAGAAATACTGTAAAAATTTCCTTGCTCTGTTAAACATCATTAAGGAAATATTTAAAAAAGAAAAAAAAAGTCAAAGGGGGCTAATAATTCTGACTGTATATTTAGAGTAAATTTAGGGTCTCTCATGTTTATGTATGAAAGAGAACTGTTACACACTTATTGCTTGCTATATGGAATGCAAAAACCTTTGAAGCTCAATATCTCAAAATCATTTAGAATGCAAATAGAACCTTATAATTCCAAGGCAACAATACAGTAAAGGAATTTTGTGGAACCCAGCATTTTTACAGTAAATAACAAGGTGTACTAGCAAAATAAACTTTAACTGACCTACAGATACTGTGAGAGCTAACTTTATACATACTCTAAAACTGACACAGCAATTAATTTTTAAAGGTGATGAAAAGCGGTGCAGCTTCTTGAGAAATATCTGCATCTGGAGTTTCAGTTCAACTCATAAACCCAGCAATAACCCTGAGCTGCTATTACTGGATTACAGAAGGGGAGAAAGTTAATACCCACAAATTAGCCCCTGCTATTGCTCTGAATGCCAAACTCCCGTCTATTGTTTCAGCGACACTATAATTCATCAGTCAGAGACACTTCTGCCTGATTCTGAACAGTGTGTTGGCTCCATCAGAAAGACCTGAAAGAATGGCTGTTTGGGCAGGATACGCTCAATGGCAGCTGTTGAGGTCCTGACCACTGTGTTAAAGCATTATGGGAAAAAGAGCAGGAATAAGGGCTTCCATTAAGACATGGCCCTGCTTTATGACTGCTGACACAGGCTGGAGTTAGTGGCCATTGTTTTTTTCGTGAAAAGATTGCTTGTGTGTTTCTACAGAGTCGGTCACAAAGGCCAGGGCTCGTTCTTCGTGCAAGACGAGATTTATGGGACTGTGTGGGTTGAGGTCTCTTTACTATTTGCATGCGCACACTTTCAACTCTTTTTCTCTCTTTAGTCTCAAGTGACAAAAAAACAAGTCTTTGATTTGTATTCAGTAGATCTTGAACTTTTGTTGCAGAAAGATGAATTCTCAAAGGGATAGTTCATAAAAATATGAAATTTGCTGTTAATTTATTCACCCTCAGTCAAAGATAAAGGACCTTTTTGTCTCAGTATAACATTAAACATAATTATTCGTTTAACACAGTAGTCCTTCTGATTAGAAAACACATGTCATTGGCTACTAGATTATATCTCACATAATATTATCTAACATGTGAAGAGTTTAAAGGAAAAATCTTAATATCATCTGAAATTTTCTTTTAAAATGAATATTTTTATCAGGCTCCTGTGTGTAGGTTCAGTAATAAAATAATAAATAACACAACGTAAACAAAGGTGGCTGAGAAAAATGTTCATTTTTGATGGAAATGGCAATTGCCCTATTGGAATTGCTCAGTTTCTTCTTCTTCCTATTATTATTATTCCGTCCCGGAATGAACGCAAATTTTAAAGGGTCTAAACATGCTCGAAAACTCACAAACATTTCCGAAAATTTTCATGTGTTATGGCTTTCGGAAGTAGGTTCGGCAAAATGACTCGACAGGTAGCACCGCCTACAAACATTCAATGAAGTGCCCCACATTGGTACATTTCATGCACACATATGAAAATTAGCACACACATCAAGCATGCCAATACCTACAAAAAAGTCTCTTGGAGCAAAATCTCAAACCCAACAGGAAGTCAGATATTTTTAACTTCTGCCAAAAAAAGAGCAGTTTTTTCAATACCAGGCGTTGTATCAACAAACTCCTTCAAGTGATTTTATCACATCAACACCAAAATTGGGTATTGTCATCTAAAGGACTTGGCGATGTTAAATAACAAAGATCTAGAGTTTTCATCAAAGGGCGTGTGTGTGGCGGCCTCTCAAACTTTGATGTTTCGCCACACATTTAATAAGAGTCCTGACCTGAACACGTTTACATGCCAATATCCAGTTATAGAACCACTTGCTGGCAACAGGAAATGACATGTTTTACAGTGTAACAAACTCCTTCTACAAATTTCATCATATCAGCACTAAATTTAAGAGGTGGTCTCAAAAGGGTCTAACAATGTTATATCGAGGAGTTCTAGTCTTTTTGTCGAAGGTCGTGTCAGTGGAAGTACTTATAACTCAGCCAAACAATGTCTGATCTACCTCAAAAATCACAGGTTCAATGAGATTCCTCTACTGAAGACATCTACATGCCAATAATGAGTTACAGTCATAGCGCCACCTGCTGACAAGAGGAAGCTTGGCCTAAATCTGTGATTTTCTCAGGTTATATATATATATATATATATATATATATATATATATATATATATATATATATATATATATATATATATATATATACATACATATATATACATACATATATATACATATATATATATACATATATATAGTATTAATTTTGTGTTGCCTGTAAATGTTTTTTCGACTCTCAAGAAGCTGGCAGCCTTTGATTTGCATTTTATGTATCACTAGGAACCACATTTTCATCTAAAAAACTCATCTCGGATGGCCTAAGGGTGAGTAAATGACAATTTGTTTGGAAATTTCTGAGGATGAACAACCCTTTTAAGAAAGCTTGTGCTTCACTGACTGTCTCTTGTGTTTAATGTGTATATTTATGTGACAGACTGCCCCCATTAGGCGGCTGCAAACCGCCGTCTCCACACTCATTGTGTTTTTCTCATGAGATCTTTATCGCCAAGTTATTATAGCAGGAATCCAAGGGGACAAAAAAACAGGAAATGGTACCAAGTCACGCAAAGATGCTTTTCTGCACAGCCTTATGGGTGTGTGAGCATGTTTTTAATGACAGTCTGTCAGTCAATCAGAGGGGAGTCTGGGGATGCAGGGAAGTAAACATGTCTCTGGACACACCGAGGGCACGCACATGCCACAACTTGATGGGTAAAACAAACATCAAAAAATCTGTACCAAGTAACACTTTCGAAAACCACTGCAAAAATGTATGCCCGTATTTGAATAAACAAAGATCTTATTTTTAGACGTGCCAGTTCAGCACAGGACATGTCAAGACAAGTCAGCGGACACAGATCTGTACCTGCTCCACGGTGAGGGGCGAGCAGATCTCCTCTCCTCTCAGGATCATCGAGCGCTGTGTCAAAACCTCAGACAGCTGAAAAGAGTCCAGTCCCAGCAGATCACTGACCACACTGACCACTGTCATGCAAATCAACATACAATGCATCAGTCCATGTGTGCATGGCTTAGAAGTTATGGATGTTCAACACACTAATTAAGGTTTGTTTTTGGTTGCCAATGTAATATTATTATTTATGTAGTATTGGTACTTTTAGAAATAAATACACATCATTTCATTTCCCAAGTGCTAAAGAATTAGATTTTAGTCTGTAAATGTAATGCCTGATTATTTTAGATTACTTAAGTTAATTTATTTTATAATTGTACTCTTTTTGCCAATATTCATCTATAGTAAAAATAAAACTGACCCTCTAGTTATTTTCTTAAGCATATTTCTGAAAATAATTATGTCAATAAGATGTTTATTTACTTTTTAAATTATTATTTTTTTTTAAATGAACACTAATAAGGACACATTAACATTGAATATCAAAATTTATAGTAAATAGATTTGGAAATTTACCCAACAAAAATGGTTTTCCTTAGAGAGTTCTTAAGTAGTAAACAACTGTTTTACACACTGATAATAATTATTCATAATTTTTGATTCATTTAATTTAATTAATCAAATGTTTAATTATTACTAATACAAACTGAAGACTAGAATAATGACAGCTGAATTCAGCTTTGCCATCACATCTTTAAATAGAATTTATTAATATAAATATGAAGAGAAAATCTATTCCACCAGAAAATTCCTCCGAAAATTAGCTCCTATGTATAACTTCAGTAATTTCACATTGTGGTGGTGAATATGTTTTTGTTTAAATGGTTTTAAAGTGAAATAACAAAACATAAGAGGCATAACATAAGACATAATAACATAAGAGAGAGATGAAAGATTTAGATAGCCCTTTTCATGTTAGTTTTTGCGTCTATTTAATACAGTATAATATACAGTTGAAGTCAGAATTATTAGCCTCCCTTTGAATATTTTTGCTTTTTTAAATAATTCCCAAATTATGTTTAACAGAGCAGGGAAATTTTCACAGTATGTCTGATAATATTTTTTCTTCTGGAGAAAGTCTTATTTGTTTTATTTCAGCTAGAATAAATGCAGTTTTTAATTTTTTAAACACCATTTTAGGGACAAAATTATTAGCCCCTTTAAGCTATATTTTTTGATAGTCTACAGAACAAACCATTGTTATGCAATAACTTAATTACCCTAACCTGCCTAGTTAACCTAATTAACCTAGTTAAGCCTTTAAATGTCAATTTAAGCTGTATAGAAGTGTCTTGAAAAAGTTCTAGTCAAATATTATTTACTGTCATCATGGCAAATATAAAATAAATCAGTTATTAGAAATGAGTTATTAAAACTATCATGTTTACAAATAAGTTGAAAATAAGTTTTCTTTAAACAGAAATAAACAGGGAGCTAATAATTCTGACTTCAACTGTAATTTTGTTCCCCATTCCCTCATTCAAGAAAATTTAAAACATTCTGTCAATGACAGAATCAGCAGTTACTTGAAGCCATTCCAGCATTAAGACAGATTAGTGACTTATCACCCATATGAAGTACAGTTGTCAGAGTAAATGTAGCATGCCTCTACATGCACTCTCCTCTGTGAAGGCCTTTATTCATAACCCTTGACAGATAAAACATCAACTGAGACTGTGTGCCAGGGCTACAGGCAAGAGGTCGTTTTACTGAAATAACTATTTAAAAAGCATGTATAACATGCTAACTATGTTTCCGGCAGTTGATGATGTGTCACTAACCTCCTTTAGTGGTGATCTGAGCACCTCCTGCTGTCATGAACTCAATGTTGCCGATCTGAAGGACTCCAGAGAGTAACTTAAAGACATCCCGAATCTCCTCCTCAGTGAACTCCATCACCTTCAGCGCTTCCTACACAGTTAAAATACAACAAAACTGTTCATCTGTGTCAAGATGCATTTTTTATTGTAATACTTTATTTAATGAAGGTGACCATCAGGCTCTGTTGGGGGCAGAAGATGTGATTTTGCAAGACAATGAGGGACATGTGTGAGAGAGATAGATGACATTCTTTAAATCACCAATATACTGGCCATTAACAGATTAGATAGATAGATAGGTGGATGGATGGATGGATGGATGGATGGATGGATGGATGGATGGATGGATAGATAGATAGATAGATACAGTAGATAGATAGATAGATAGATAGATAGATAGATAGATAGATAGATAGATAGATAGATAGATAGATAGATAGATAGATAGATAGATAGATAGATAGATAGATAGATAGATAGATAGATAGATAGATAGATAGATAGATAGATAGATAGATAGATACATACATACATACATACATACATACATACATACATACATACATACATACATACATACATACATACATACATACATACATAGATTAAGTTTAATTACAGTTCAATGAAACAATTCTATACTGTATAGAAACAATTCTATACATGCACGCTTGGTTAATGAAATAGTTTGAAAACAATAATTCTTCAAAAAATGCTGACATCTAGTGTCAAAAAGAAAGAAAACAAGGAGAAGAAATGGAATCTGGACACATTATGCTTTAATGTGAATATTCGCATCTGAGTAAAATATAAGTAAATAAATAAATAAAATAAACTCTGTTTTAAAAATTGTATAGGTTAAATATACATGAATAATAACTTTCCGGTTAGTCCTCCTTAGTTTACTATGTATGGAGATAGATTTTTTTTTTTCAATCAAAAACATTTAGATATCAAATTTAATTAAGTACATGGTAATAAAAAAATAAAAGATTGCCAAAAAATGTTTAATTAAAAAACTCATATCAATGATAATAAAATATTTTGGATTGCAAAAATAAACTATTGTCCTATTATGCAGTTTTTATATTGCACATCTAGAATCCTTGCTTGCGAGTTGAAATGTTTGGATATTAAAGACACAAAATTAATCCCATGGTTTCAAAACTTTTCAATGCGCAAGCAAAAGATTTCAACTCGCAAGCAAAGATTCTACATGTGCAATAAATGACAACAGAATTTGTGGTAACTGCATAATAGGACAATAGTTTAATAGTTTATTTGCAATCTTTTATTTTTTTATTAATATGTACTTGATTTTCCCCTAAAACTAAATATTTTTGATTGAATAATAAAGAAACAAACCTATCTCTATAACTATGAACTGTATACAGAAAAGTCAGGATGTGGTGCCCTCTAGTGGCAATTAAAGCATAGTAAAACAGCATCTGTGTGTTCATGAAAACAGTATCAGTCTGAGGTGCGAGAACAATGCTTTCACACAAAGATAATAAAGCAATTTCTTGACTCACCATTACACTATCATAGAGGTGTTTGTCATCTAGGCTTCTGTCTTTTACACAGCCGGACTGGTTGAGGTAATGATAAGCTTCAGGAGAGTCAGCTAGCACATACATTTCTGAAGGTGAAAACAGGGTTCAATATACTGTACTGCACTACAGTCGGCAAAATTATTAAGCTTCCTCAAAATCTCTATGAATTAAATCCAATTTAACAAAAAATCATGATAAAAGCTCACCTCTGTGTTCATACTTGGCACCTGACAACAAGGCATAGAAAATATGATAGTTTCTTTCTCCTGGATTTTGTCGCACAACTCGATTCTGGAGACAAATGTTAAAGGATTTAATGCAACTGTATTTACAGAGGGCTATCTACCATTTCCCACTAGTGACTACTGCAGTTCAAATTATGGGTAGCCAACTTCCAATAATAAATGCTGAAACATAAATTAATAGGGTTGTGCTATGATGATCAAACCATATACAAGGTATACATGTATGGACTTTCACTAGTGAAAATTAAACCATGAACTAAACTTCAACTCTGAAAACTGGACTGTCAGTTTCAATTTACTAGATCTTCTAAAACTAAATGAGAAGAAAATAACATACACTTGTTTTTTTTACATATTTATCTCACAAGCATATATCTGTGGCCAAGACTCTTTTGAATTCCTCTAAATAATTGTTCCTTCTTTTAATATTCAATGGAAGAACTATTAAGAGAATAATGACACCTCATGGCAGGTCTTTAAAACACTTTACTGTTAGTTTACACTTTAAAGTTAATCCCATAACTCACGTTCAACACAAGGCATAGAGAAATCATGGATAAAATAAAAGTATACCTTTTCAAGCAAATAATCAATAATACAGCCACCCTGGATATTTCCACTCTGGGAGAAGTGAAGTTGAATGAACTTTCCGAAGCGACTGGAGTTGTTGTTGTAAACTGTTTTTGCATTTCCAAAAGCCTCCATTATTGGGCTGGAATGGGACAGGAGGTACAGGTGTGAAAACAGAAAAAGCTTAGATGCAGAGTCAGTCTGGATGTTGTGTGTTGTGTCTGACCTGCTCTGTACGATGGCCTGCTCGACTCGGGTTGTCCTCTCTGACAGCGGAGAGCCCGTGGAGTTCTGACTCATGACCGACAGAAACTTCAGGAGCAGTTTAGTGCTCTCCGTCTTCCCAGCACCACTCTCTCCACTGAACACACACAGAGATGCATATATGAAGCACTTGCAAAAAACAAACACAGGCACACTCTAGTCTGTAGTTGTATGGGTTTAGGTTAATAAAGCAAAAAATAAATATATAACTAAAGTTTGATTGAGGTTGGTAAGATTTTGTCCTTTATGATTACTGATGCTTCCTTATTTAATAAAAATACAGTAAAACAGATTTAAAATATATTACAATATATATGATTATTAATAATAGAAAATTGCAAATTATGTATAAATAATAACTCACAATTATGTGCTGTAAAGTTTGAATTGTGAGTTTATATCTGGTAAGTAATATACACATATACACAAAGTGAGTTTATACATTTTTCTCAGAATTTCGCGAATAAGAACATTCATTCATTCATTTTTTTCAGCTTAGTCCCTTTATTAATCTGGGGTCGCCACAGTGGAATGAAATGCCAACTTATCCAGCATACAATACGTTTTTCGCAGCGGATGCCCTTCCAGCTGCAACCCATCTCTGGGAAACATACACACACACTGATTCACACTCATACACTACGGACAATTTAGCCTACCCAAATGACCTGTACTGCATGTTTGAATTGAATTGAATTGAATTTTATTTGACAGATTTTAGACAAACTGTACAAAAAGTATTCCATACACTTTGTTAAAAAAACTGTCGAGGATAAAAACACAATAAAGCCCTGGGCTTATTTCCATTGTGGTCCTCTGTTAAATAAAAACAATGTATGGCTTCAAAATACTAATGAAGAATAAAACAAACAGTCGCCACAGCGGTACGAACAGTCAACTTATCCAGCACATGTTCTACACAGCTAATGGGCTTCCAGCCGCAAACCTATTCACACTCAAGTAACATATAAATTAAAACATCCTCGTCCACCATGCAAACTAATTATCCCCATCAAACAACCATCTTTTGATAGCGTTTTTGAACAACCTTAAATCTTTTATTTCCTTGATTGATTTTGGTTTTTGGACTGTGGGGGAAACCGGAGCACCAGGAGGAAACCCATGCGAACGCAGGGAGAACATGCAAACTCCACAGAGAAACGCCAACTGAGCCAGCTGAGGCTCGAACCAGCAACCTTCTTGCTGTGTGACAACAGCACTACCTACTGCGCCACTGCATCACCTGAATAAGGACTTGTAACTTTTTATTTTATTTTTATTTTTATAACTGAGTTTACTGGACAGTATGTCATCCAATAATAAAAAAAAACATAATTGTTTGATTTTATCACACTATTAGGGAAGAAAAAAAGTCCAAAATGTCAGATTAGATAAATATTGCAACCTAGCTGCCATACTCAACATCTTTAACAGAGAGAAAATACAGTTGTGTAGGTTTTAAATAGTGCAGAGTGCATCAGACGAAACTTCACATTTTGTTATATCTGCTCTTGAGCGCTATAAAATCTCTCAATTGCTTTTTATCTTGTTTATTTTAGCCAAACGTTATGAGGTAAACTAAAAAAAAATGGTGCAGAAGCAAATATGACTTGCAGTAAATTTAGTTAGTAAATTTCCCGATTAGTTACAGAAGCTGCAAGTAATACATTGAATTAAATATGAGAGAGAATGAGAGAAAAAACTCAAATTTATCATTTGAAAAAGAATTCAAAAAGTCGTTGAACATCAGTTGGTAAACTTTCCAGTTTCTTTAAAGTGATTTATGATGTTCACTTGACCCCTGTGCAGTCTTCAGTGACCTGCTCACTCATAAATGTTTCACATGCTATTGATCACAATAATTTATGGGCAAAATATCAAACTATATTTACTATGAATGCACAACACAACACAGCAAATGAATGCCCAGGTTTGTTCCACCGAGCATAATAAATTTTTTTAATATTCGTTCATTCTATTTCTTTTCGGCTCATTCCCCCTTTTTAATCTGGGGTCACCACAGCAGAATGAACCCTCAACTTATTTAGCATATGTTTTACGCCGCGGATGCCCTTCCAGCTACAACCCATCACTGGGAAACATCCATACACACTCATTCACACACATACAGTACACTACGGACAATTTAGACCTCCCTATTCACATATACAATGTCTTTGGATTTGTGGGGGAAACCGGAGCACCCGGAGGAAACCCATGCAAACACAGAGAAAACATGCTAACTTTTCCAAGAAATGCCAACTGACCCAGCTGAGGCTCGAACCAGTGACCTTCTTGCTATGAGATGATCGTGCTACCTACTCTGCCACCTTGACACCCACATTAATATTAGTAATTTAATTTTAAAAATTAAACATATCAGCTGTTTTATATAAATCCCACACACAGAACTTTTAATTAAGATGGACAAATACCATGTGAACAATCCTACAATTATTGGAAATGCTCACTTCCAAGGTCTTCTTACTCCATCTAGCCACTAAAGCAAATACACCTGACCTGTGACCTCCATAGCAAAACGAGTTACGCAATAAACCTTGCAATATGAGTCAAACGTAATCCATCTCTAGATTGAGCTGTCATACTCTGATTGGATTACAGTCCTGTGGAACAGCAGATTACCGAATCACTCATGTATACATCAGTCCTTTTGTGTGCTTCAATCTGAACAGCAAAAATGACCAGCAGCAGTCTTTGTATTTGCAGGATTTGATTAACCGTCTTTAAATTTTACTCTAAAATCTGGTCGCACTTGGTGTGATATGATGCAGTGTAAAAGCAGCACGAGGTCGATAGTGGAATTTAGTCTTTTGGAGCATCTTTTTTTTTATGTCTGTACTTATGAATGTCCCACAGTAATGTAATTCTGTATGGTATGTGAGTCTGTCTGTTAGATTAAAAACAAAGTTGATGAACCGGATTAAAATCTGCTCAGAGATAGCCTCTTGAAAAATTATATGACCTTTCGTATTACAAGAAACTTACAAGGCTGGCTAGAAACATAATTTTGAACACTAATCATGTCTTGAATTAAGAATCATGAAGTTTAATCATCGATTTAAAGTCCGAAGTGAAATTAAAACATACATTTGTACATTAGGCTGAAAGCCCGTGGCCAGGGGGTCAAAAGATCCACTTGTCATTGATAAAGGTCCAGAATGTGTCCCATACATAAGCTCATTTGTCCTATTTTTACCGCTATGCCATCATAAACAGTGAAAATAACCCATCAAAACAGGTTTTAAGACAAAGTGGAATCCTCTATTGGCTGTCGCTTCGGTGTGACTTCAGCTAATCAGTTTTGGCCAATGCTAACAATTATTTTTTCTGAGTACTTTTTACATCCAGCTGTGCAAGAAGACATACAATCTGATATAAGTGAAGTCATCTTTCACTACTGTATTGTTTTTAAATTGAGGATATATTTTACAAGTAACTTTTGTTCTATATATTGGACCTTTGAAACAAAAAATGACCAATGAAAAGGTGTAAAGAACCAAAAGTGGCCCAAAAGTATTGAAATTAATTTGAATACTATTTTGGCTATCCGCTTGTTAAGTGTGACGTCACGCGAAGCGGCTTCCGGGTCCAAGCGCTCTATTCAACTGAATGGGGAGACTCATGAAAGGGTAATAATAAACGTTTACAAAGCAATTTAATGCTTTCGAAAATCACGATCGCAGTATATATGTCCATGCCTAATATCCGATGGCCAGAAAGTGAATTATTTTTTTATAAATTGTTACATTTTTGGTATTTGTTATGCAGCAAGCCCAGAGATTGTTGTATACACTATATAAAATTAACTTTAATGTGTGATGGGAATAAAACGTGATCCTAAACGAATGATTTCTCCACTCAAATGAATGGCTGCTTGGACCCGGAAACAGTATTACATACTTCACAAACACGTCACCACTTAACAAGCGGATTGTTGTTATCCATGAATTTCCAAATGTACTTTTTAGGTTATCATTACCGTACGACAATCTATTTCGGCTACAATAGTGCATAAAATGTCACTAAAATGCAGTATTTAAATCTCATAATTAAATAGCCTAAATGAGGCCTATAACCACATAAAGATTCACTTTTTGAGAAAAAAAGAACCACCCATTTCCACAGGCAGGCTACAGGCCTGGGCTGTCTTGGAGCTTAATAAGGTCTGTGTAAAATTAAACTTTTATTTTTATATTTATGTATGTATATTAGTTTTTGTCCCATTGTGAGGAGTATTTAACATGCTGTTGTGCGAGAAAAAAATTAAAACTAAGTCTGAAAATAAAGTTTGCATTGTATTGTAGGTCACCTGATGAGCACACACTGACTGTCGTGTCTCTTCCACAGGCAGCGGTAACACTCGTTGGCCACGGCGAAGATGTGTGGAGGAAGTTCACCCAGATGATGTCTGCTGTACACATCCACCGCCTCGCTGTCATACAGGCCTGCTATCTGCTTATAAGGATTCATGGCTGCCAGGATCGAGCCAATGTTAGTCTGCAAGGTAGAATAAATAACAGTATGGTCATTAAACATTATTATTTTTTAACTCTAAAGACATATTAACTGCACTTACAGCTTAAAACGGGTATATACTGTAACTATGATTTGATTCAATCTAGAAAAATCTCCTTAATTGTTTTTAAAGTGCCAATGAAAGCAATAAAATGTGATTAATAAACAGTTGAAATCAAAATTATTATTATTTAAAGGCTTAACTAGGTTAATTAGGTTAGGGTAATTAGGCAAGTTATTGTATAATGATGGTTTGTTCTGTTGAAAAATATATAGCTTAACGGGGCTAATAATTTTGTCCTTAAAATGGTTTTTAAAAAATTAACAACTGCTTTTATTCGAGCCAAAATAAAACAAATAAGAGTTTTACTAGAAGAAAAAAATATTATCAGACATACTGTGAAAATTTTCTTGCTCTGTTAAACATCATTTGGCAAATATTTAAAAGAGAAAAAAAAAATCAAAGGAGGGCTAATAATTCTGACTTTTACTATATGAAACCCACTAGTAGAAGTGTGCTTTCTTATCGATATGGTTGCAAATTATAATCGTTTGTCATTATTAAAGATCTATAAATCCACTGACAATTGTGTGTTCAACTCTTACACATCAGCTAATGGCTAATTGGCAAATGGCTATCTAATGAGGCTTTTATAATGATGTTTTTAGCTCAGTTAAATCAATATATCACCCCCAGTGGACATTAAGTCAAAAGACAGGAAGTACAAAAGACGATAAAAGAAAAGACTTTCTTTCTTTCTTTCTTTCTTTCTTTCTTTCTTTCTTTCTTTCTTTCTTTCTTTCTTTCTTTCTTTCTTTCTTTCTTATTAGCTTATAGATATGGGCCAGTAGGGGCCTTCTCTGCCTACTGGTAGGCTCAGGAAGGCTGTTATGCATCCACATGGTTAATCAGCTATACTAATAGAAAAGATTCCAGATCCAGATCTGTTTTTACATCACTGTCACAGTTGGGTTTTGGGTTGGGGTAGGTGTAGACGTTAATAAAAATGTATGGGAAATTTAATAAATAATATAAATCATTCTTGTTAACTTTTTGGCCGCAGCCTTATGTGATCTATAGCTGATTAACCATGTGAATGGATGATAGCCGCCTTCCGACCAGTGGACGAAGCCTACCAGTAGACGAAGAAGGTTCCTACTTGCCTATATCTATCAGCTGATAACCACTGACAATGCCCATTCAATAGAGTAATAGCATTCGAATCGGATTATATATATATATATATATATATATATATATATATATATATATATATATATATATATATATATATATATATATATATATACATATTTCATTCGCATATAAATTAAACAGGATCAAATAATAAACACTTTATAATATGAGACATGTAGTTCATGTTTTTACTAATATGAGAAAATAATGAAAACTCAATTTATTCATATTTGTTAATATAAGATAAAAATATAGTTGTTCATTGTTAGTTCAACTCAAAATGCATTAACTAATGCATTAGTAATAGTTGAACTATGCTGTAAAAGCATTGTTCATTGTTTGTTCATGTTAGCAAATACATTACCATTAACTTTATGTCCAATATTGTGTAAAATGTATTAAATAATAAATAATAATACAATTAGTTTTTTCTTTTTTTCTGGGAAATAAAACATATAACCATCAGTATTTTCTTCATTTCTCTTTATTTCACTGAAAATCCTGCACAATGTTAAGCTCTGATTAAACACCATTAAAGCTTCACAGAACAAAGTTCCTTTGAGGCACAATTCTCCACAAAGTACATACTGTTCCTTTGTTTACATGCAAACACTGCAAAATCCAAATCCCTGTTTGAATTTGATGAAGGGAATTAGTGTGTGAGTGTGTGGTCCAGGTATTCCAAGCTTAAATTTATATTAAAGTGCTTATACTTTATATTAAGATATATCCTTTTGAGAGTGTGAAAACAGAATGCTTCACTTTATTACCTTGTCCTCAATGCCATTACCTAGCAGGCATTTTTTTGTGTTTAAAAGATTTGCAACAGGCCTCTTTGCTAAAACGAGGCTAAATTTGGTCTGCCAGTGAAAATCTAATAGACGTCTATTTTTGGACAATTGTTAAATGTCTATTAGATTTTTATTTAAATCCCAAATTTAGCCTTGTTTTGGCCATGTTTAGATGTCTATTGGATGTGTTTTAAGTGTAAAAATTGCTTTAGTGGGTATTTTTAGGTTTGCATTAGTGTGTGGATTAGGTTGTATTTAGCTGTATAAAAACAATAGAAGTCTATGGAATAGAGAAGTAAAGGTGTGTGTAGTGTGCAATCAACTCACATAAATGAGGTCTTTCTGGTAGCGCAGGTAGAGGTTGTGCATGATGGCGGCCTCGTGAAGCTCAGCCAGAGTGGACATGTCCTCCACTCCACTGATGCTGGTGGAATGCATGGGGAAAACCTTCAGCCGGTTCACCTCAGCCTGATCCAGAGTCATCACCTTTAACACATACACACACAGCACTGTCTACACATACTGCAAAAGGTTGAAAAACTAGATGAGCAGCTCATTTTACTGCTTTCAGATCAGTGGTGGACATACTTACGCATTACTAATAATGGTTTATTTTGCAAGATAACATTTGGTCAAAACTTGTCATACACCGATGACCATATTAATTATAATGAACGATAATTCCAAGTGTTGCAAATGATGCAAATAATAAAATATACCACACAGCTTAGCTAGTATGTAACTAAAATTATTAAGAAACAAAATGGTGTTTATTTGTCTGGAAAAAATATAAGCACACAATATTAAAAGAGAAGAATCCTATGCTCTCATATTAGTGTTGTATTTATTATGTGCTAAAGCTGTGGGAAATATTACTCAAAGTATGGATAAAAAGTAGACCTTTCAAAAGTACTCAAGAGTAGTGAGTATTATGCTGTGAAAAGCTGATGCATTGACATGTAATTTGTAGACGAGTGTAAGCGTAACATTCTGTAGTGCATTTAGTTATTGCCCAGCAGGCACACAGCGTCACAAGACATTAAAATTAGTTTAGATTTAGGTTGTGATGTCAGTTGACCAAAATTTAATGTTTAGTTAGCATCTAAGGATGATCTTTTTGTGATGTCCAATAACGACGTCAAATGATGACAAGATTTGGCTAATTTTAGGTTGTTAGAAAGTGAACAAAATCCAACGTCAAGCCAACCTAAACTAACGTCATGTCTGATAGGCATCAAAGTGGTAACATCATCATTGGACGTTGATATTTGGTTGATTTTAGGTTCAATGTTATACATTGATGTTAGCCCTGATGTTGAATTCTGACGTCAACCTGATTTTCCTTTCCAAACAAAATGCAAAGTCCCCAAGACGTTGAGGTATAATGTCAAACTGACGTCATGTTGACATCTTGTGCCCGCTGGGTGTTTAAGGCCATTTCGGTCATCATACAGTAAACATCCATCATCAGTGACATGCATCAAAACTGGGGGTTGGCAAACTCAGTCCTGAAGGGCCGGTGTCCGGCACAGTTTAGCTCCAACACTAATCAAACACACCTGCTTGTAGACTTCTAGTGATCTTGAAGACACTGATTAGCATGTTCAGGTGTGTTTGATTGGGGTAGGAGCTAAACTGTGCAGGTCACCGGCCCTCCAGGACCGAGTTTGCCCACCCTTGATCCAAACAGTCTCTGGGTGATTGCTTGTGACGATTTTGGACATCTTCTTGGACACTTTTAATGCTTCCAAACAGTTTGCTGCAATTATAAAGTGCCCATGTCTTGAGGTAGTTAATTATATTGCTATTTACTTTCAATGTGTGATTTTATTGGACAGGAATCACAGGATGTATTGTTCTAATCCCCATAGACAAGAAAAAATAAAGTAGTGACTGCAGGTTGAAGGACAGTAGTGGAGTAAAAGTACTAAAATGTACTCAAGGTACAGTAAAATTACACATTTTTAAAACTACTTACTAAAGTACAATTCCTGAGAAAAAACTACTCAATTACAGTAATTTGAGTATTTGTAATTTGTTATTTTTCACCACTGACAGCCATTAGTTAGTGTTTTTGTAATATTATGTTAAAATTACATACTGAGAACCGCATACAGCTTCAGTTGTAAATAAAAACAACCTCATTCAAAATGGACACAAATGTCCACATTCAAACAGTTCATACAGTGGGCTTAATAAGCAAATGTGTTTCACAAAGAACTTAGTCATTTGAACAATAATTTAAATCAATGAGTTGTTAACCGGATCTGACCAGATTATTTGAGTCTGTGAATTGTGAACACTTCGTCTATTGAGTACTGAATTGAATTTAGCAATTGACTACTGAACACATGCAAAAAGTGTGATTTAGCAGGTAACCTTAACCTTAACCAATTTCAACCTTAACCAACCAGTTTGTTCACAAATCCCAACAGTGTCATTAATATTTTTTCTTGACCTCACCTACAGTGGTACAATTGTCATTAAAATGTTATTAAACGTAATTAAATATTAATGACACTGTTAAAAAAATATTTCACCCAATATTGATGCTTTCACTGAGAAATTGTAATGACAAAAGTGTTCAGAGAAATATTCATGACACACATATTATGACCTTATGACAATCATGTTTATGACAGATTTATGACAAGATAAGTTGCCTTGATAATGTCAAGTTGTCAGTGCAAAGACAAAGACAGGTTATGTAGAATTTTTATGTCAAGTTGTCATGACAAAGACATCTCAAATAATGCCATATTACCAATTAAAACTGACATACTGTGACTAAATGAATAACATATAATGACAGTTGTATTAAGCATGCACAAAATGTATGATGAAAGTATTGTGAACATCTTTTCAATTGTTACCAGTTCTTATTCATTATTCACTGCTATTAACCAGATTAACCAGATTAACGACACAACCAAATGATTCCCAAATGAAACCCCAAATGAAATGATTTGTGATTATGCTCTCTCTAAATCAGACAAAGCTCCTGCAGTTTAATGCGTCCGGACCTGCTCGAGATTTCTGCCAAGTTGTTTCACATTCCTGAAACCATACCCTCCATGACACCCTCATTGAGCTCCTCTCACTTTCACCATACTGATCATTTCCCTGAACGACCTGTTCTCAAACACAAACATCACAGGACACACTACATTATGCTGGATCATGAGGCTGAAACATTTCTCAAATCACTGATGCTGATTTATTTGAGTCATTCAAAAGTCATCTTGTCTATCAATTGTAATGTCCTGTCATTTATTATTCTCTGCACAAGCAAAAACCACACACACTGAGGTTCACTTTAAGGATATAAACGATTGGGTGATATATATATTTAATGCCAATGTTCAAATAATTGTTCATATAATATTATAATTGATCATTTCAAAGCAGATACATGGACAGTGGGTTAAAATGCTATCTCATGGCAGGGATAGTAGTACCTAAAATGTTCAATTGAGCTAAAAGTTTACTTTAAAATATCTTCAACTGCTCATTGTCTCGCCCTTGCAGATCGCTGGAAAACACTCACCATCACTAGAACTACAATTTTGCTACTGAATTGCATTACATTTCCCATCAGACACCTCACTCACACACCAGTTCCAGATCACCCCGGATTAGTTGCAGACAGCTGTAGCTAATGAAGATTGACTATATGGACTATTTATACACTTCACTTCCAAACACATTGTCTTGTTTGCTCTTACATTTCAAAGTGTTCTATTATCTAGCCTTGCTGTGTTTTCTGACCCTTGTCTTGTTCCATGTCTATTTTGTTTTGCCACCTGCATTGACCTTTTTGCCTGTGACCACGACTTCGTTTTTGGATCACCCTCATGATACTGTTCGCTCCTGCTTTGACCATTGCCTGGATGACAAAGTTGTAAATAAACTGCATTTGGACCCTCACCTCGTTTGTACCCCAATTCCCTATGTTACACTTATCATGAAGCTCATGATCGTAGGTGAAAGTAGAATTAAGCCATAAGGGGCCGATGCAATGTTGATTGGGGATCAAATGTCAGGACTACCACAACCTGAACTTTGGACACAGAAACCGGCTAGTGTAAAAAATAAAAAGTGAAAATAAATGAAAAGTATTGATAGAAAAATAACTTTAAGAACTACAAGATCCAGGCATGCACAACACACACTTACACCGGTTTCTAATCCTGACTGATTGCATACGCACAGTCAGAGGATTGTCAAAGACTAATTACATGGAAGCAGCACAGACACCTTGAACATGGCTTTCCTGATCATTCCTGTTTAATAAACCTGCGTTTGGATCTATACTTCTGTTGTCAGCGTCACATCTCATTACAATTATATTTTAATATATAAATATATTTTAATTATATTATTATATTTTTGTAATATTATATAAATATTACAATAAATATTAAATAATATTAAATAATTATATTATTATTATATTAAATAATATTAAATAATATTTTATTATTTTGTAATATTATAATTATTATTACAATAAATATTAAATAATATTAAATAATTATATTATTATTATATTAAATAATATTAAATATTATTTTATTATTTAACTAACTTTTTAAAAATTGTCAGCGCTAATTAAATTAAAACAGAAATAAAAAAAAATATTAGATACTTTAACAAAACTTGGAGAAATCTTTACTGCAAATGTTCAAATAATTGTTTATATAATATTATAATTGATTGCGTTTGGATCCATACTTCCATTGTCAGCGTCACATCTCATTACAATTATATTTTAATAAATATTTTTATTATATTTTTATATTTTATTGTAATTATTATATTATATTTTATTAATTAACAAACTTTTTAAATTATCGCTAATTAAACTAAAAAATAAACACAAAAAATTATTAGATACATACAATAACAAAAGGTTTGAATGCAAATATAAAATTTTACTTGTCAATTAATAAGTTAAATTACTAAAAAGCTAAAACTCATGTAAAAGTTGAAGATAAAAAGCAACACTGATAATATAACAAAAGTGAAATATTGTATTGTATATCAATAATACAACACTATTTGTGTGTTGAATAGAAAAACACTTCTGTAACCTATTTCCAAAGCACCTACCGCACAACATGCCCTGGCAAACCCCTGGGTAACACTATTTTGATGGTCCATTTGAGTATTATTAGACTGTCTGCTTAATATCTGTTAATATGCTCTTTCAAAAGACATTTAACTGACCATAAGAAACTTTTCAAGGTTATGTCAACTTACTCTAACCCGAACCCCAACCTAACAGTCTACTTATAAGCTAATGAAAATAAGTTGGCATGTAGATGCAATGTAACTTCAACAAACAGACCATTAAAATAAAGTGAGACCAACCCTTGTAATGTCACATTTCAGCAAATTTTATAATGCTAAAATCATCAAACATATACACAGACGTTCCCAAAGAACTCCATTTTAATTCCTCAAATGGTGTTGAATGCATCTAT